AAAACATCCCCACAATGCATCCTGGCTTCCTCCCTTCTGCCCTGGAGATAATTGGAGAAGGAATCTAATTATCTCCAAAGACAGAGCCAAACTCCATTACCCACATGGCAGACAAAAAGACAGTAAAAGACATAAAATTACATACTGACACATTTAGTACATAAAACACACATTTCTACATATCCCCAGATAGCTTGGATCTGACTGCACATTATTAGATGAATGGCACTCAGATCACACGAATAAGCCTTTCTGCAGGGAAAATAAACAGTTTAACCTGCAGGGCCATAGTCCAAAGGCAAGAGGCGGGCAAGCAGCCCCCTCCAAGGACACGTGGCGAGGTCGGTTTTGCCACACTTCTCCCCTTTGCCCCCAGACTAACAGGGTATCTGACCTCCTGCCGGTCAGTGCCCTGGTTAGTCCAGCAACCCACCCACGAAGCACAAACAGCAGTACAGCCCACCCACAATAAATGTTTACTCCACCTGGATAAAGTAGCAACTTGTCCATGTCCAGGTGCCTCACCACGGCTGTGTGGGGAGCTGGTAGACTGCCTTGGTGGGTTGCTGAGTGGGCAGAGACCAGCGGTACTCTGCCCTGGTGCCAGCGCTACCACCGAAGTAGCCTGATTGGAGCCTGGTTGTGGGAGGGGGAGACCGACCGTCTCCCCTCTGGGTACACAGCTCTGGGGCTGGGGAACAGGACCGACCGTCTCTACCCCTTGGGCTGTAAGCGCAGAGACTACGGTCCCATCTGCACAGTTGCGGGGCTCAACATCTCCCCTTGGTGGGTTAGGCTGCCGCTGGAGAGAGGGTGTAACAAGCTCCTCTCTCTGGACTGTCAACTGCCGCTGGGGAGAGGGGTTAACAGGCTCCTCTCCCTGACACTCTCTCTGCTGGTGGAGAGGCGGACCAGCTGTCTCCCCTTTCATTATTTTGTCCTGCTGCTGGGGTGTGAGACTGACGGTCTCTGCTCCCTGCAGGACACACTGCCGCTGGGGAGGAAGGACGACACCTTCAGCTCCCTGGGGTACACACTGCCGCTGGGGAGGAAGGACGACACCTTCGGCTCCCTGGGTTACACACTGCTGCTGGGGAGGACGGACGACACCATCAGCTCCCTGGGGTACGCACTGCCGCTGGGGAGGAAGGACGGCACCTTCCGCTGGGGCAGCCTGTAGAAAGTCAGGCTCAGGGGAAGGAAACAAGGGAGGACAGAGGCCAGCGGCGCTCTGCCCAGTTGCCAGCTCTTCTGCTGGGGGGTCAGGGAACAAAGGAGTTGGCTGGGGAGGAGAAATATCACTTACCTCCCCCTGGTACTCCGGCTGCTGCTGGGGGGGGAGGTCGATGCTCTCCACTTTCTGTAACTCCAGCTCTAGTTGGGGATCTGGGCCGGTTGCCCAGCATCCCTGTAGGGCCGGTGGAGAGATCTCGGTCCCATCTCCACCTGCCTGCAGGGGGTCCTCCCAGGACCAGTCTATGAGGTCCTCTACCTCGGGTACCTCTGGTTGCTGTTGGGGAGGGAGACCGGTTGTCTCTTCCTCCAATAACACATTCTGCCGCTGGGGAGTGAGACCGACTGTCTCCCCTCCCTGTAAAACATACTGCCGCTGGGGATCTGGGCCGGGTGCCCAGCATCCCTGTAGGGCCGGTAGAGAGACCTCGGTCCCATCTCCACCGGCCACCTCGGTTTCTTCCTCGTCCCACTCTACCTGTGGCTGGAGTTTCTCCCAACGTGCCCACTGGCCTTCCCTCAACGCCCTGTGTTGTAGGTTCCGGGTCACCATGTCCCACACGAACCGCACGTATTTCTCCTCTGGATTGGGTCCGTAAAACTTCAGGTGCAACCCTACCATCGTGCCAAACTCTAGTACGGAGTAGCTATACGCCATGCTTGCTGTAGCCACTGCTGGTTCCATTATGTTGCTGAAGATAAGGACGCTGCACAACTCCACACGTTACCGGTGTCTCCGAGCTGCTTCTCCTCGCACTAGGATGCCATCCCACCGCTGCCACCAATGTAACGGATCACCTGGCACCCCGACTGGGTACCTCCGTTGAAAGATGCTCCTAGCGCTTCCAGAGGACTCCAAGCACTCCACCAGACACCATAAGCACCGCAGGCTGCAGCTATCTCCCTTCAGAACGAAGCAGGAACAAGCTCTTACAAGAGCTCAGTGATTATAGCAAGGGAATATGCCTAGCATAGCAATCCCTTGTAGCAGATTCCCCCAATAAGAGACAGGACTCAAGTTGAGGGTAAAAATAGAACTCTCTGGCTGCTAGCTTGCAGCCCTTTTTATTAGGTGCTCCCATGAAGGGGAGGGACACACACAGTAACGTACATTAACCAATCACACAATAGTTACATCCCACACATAGCCCTCCCCTCTACCTGTAAACTAATTATCTGTACACACAGGGAAATACAATTATCATAGGTAGGGAAAATACAGTTTTTACACAACATTCATAACTCCCAAAATATACATCACATTCGCATAAAAATACATATTCACAATCAATCCATTCAGGGGAACAACATATTAAAAAATGGCATGAATCAGACCAGGGGTTCAAAAGTTAGTAAAAGTATCTTTTGTTCCCCCTGGCTCAAACAGTAAAAGTAAAACATCCCCACAATGCATCCTGGCTTCCTCCCTTCTGCCCTGGAGATAATTGGAGAAGGAATCTAATTATCTCCAAAGACAGAGCCAAACTCCATTACCCACATGGCAGACAAAAAGACAGTAAAAGACATAAAATTACATACTGACACATTTAGTACATAAAACACACATTTCTACATATCCCCAGATAGCTTGGATCTGACTGCACATTATTAGATGAATGGCACTCAGATCACACGAATAAGCCTTTCTGCAGGGAAAATAAACAGTTTAACCTGCAGGGCCATAGTCCAAAGGCAAGAGGCGGGCAAGCAGCCCCCTCCAAGGACACGTGGCGAGGTCGGTTTTGCCACAATAATGTTATCATATCCCCTCTCAGGCGATGCTTTTCTAAACTAAAGAGGTTTAAATTTGTTAACCCTTCTTCATAGCTGATTAAGGACCTATTAATTAAGTAGCCCGCTTCTGCACTTTTTCTAGTGCCATAATATCCTTCTTTAGAACAGGTGCCCAAAATTGCACAGCATATTCAATATGTGGTCTTACCAGTGATTTATAAAAAGGCAAAATGATATTCTCGTCCCAAGAATGAATGCCCTTTTTCATGCATGACAAAACCTTACTGGCCTTGGCCACTGCTGATTGACATTGCACATTGTTGCATAGTTTGTTGTCTATAACAATTCCCAAGTCCTTTTTGTGTATTGTTATCCCTAATTCGCTTCCATTAAGGGTATACGTTGCTTGGGTATTCTTTACGCCGAAGTGCATAACTTTGCATTTTTCAACATTAAATTTCATCTGCCATTTGAGTGCCCAGTCTCCAGTCTATCTAAATCCATCTGCAGCAAAGTAATATCTTGCTCACATTGTATTATTTTACAGAGTTTTGTGTCTGCAAACACTGAAACATGACTTTCAATGCTTTTTTCAAGATCATTTATAAACATGTTAAATAGAAGGGGTCCCAGAACAGAACCCTGTGGGACACCACTTGCCACCTCTGTCCAGCTTGAAAATTGATCTGGGTGAGCAACATATCCAAAAATCACCCAGATCAGAGGAGAGGTTCAAAAGTTTTGTGGAAGTCTCTTTTTACCGACTGCACACATGATTTCATGCCCAAACCAGTTCCAGAGAATTTGGTTGTGCAGCCGGTCTATTTCCATGTTAAATTCAGTGCAAATAGACGGACAGCTAGTGTTCGTGCACATCATCAATGTTAAAGTGCCGTTAAATTGTCAAACGGCGTTCGACTCCAGTCGAATCGTCTGTCAGGATTACTAGTTGATCCAGCACGTAGAATTGTGTCACACAGATGACTAACAGGTAACGTATTACCGGGTCTTAACGTACCGGAATTAACGTACCAAAAAGTAGTCAGGATACTTGCCGAGGTCAGGGGATACAGAAATAGACACAACAATAAGGGAAAGCCAGAAGTCAGGGATACCGAATACAGGAAATTCAAAATCAAAGCCAAAGTAAAAAAACAGAAGAAATTTGAATCAGGAACGTGCTCTCAGACAACCACTAGGGAAACCACAACCACTAGGGAAACCACTGAGCAGGATGAGAACTGGATCTGATAGGCTGTAATCGGCCTTTGACCCCAAAGGCAGTTACCAGGTTACCATTTGCATAATTGCTGCTCAGCACAAACCCTCCTGTGGATTTGATTGCTGCTCGGCACAACTTTTCCTGTCAGGACGATAATGTTGCTCGGCACAACTTTTCCTGTCAGAACAGTAAATGTCATTCATCACATTTTTATATGAGGATGAATACATGACAGCGTCGTAGTCTGGAGAAAGTAAAGTTCAGCAGTGTTCGTGCCGTCACGTGTACAATTTCAGTTCCATGAACTCGACGACCAAACATTGCTTAACTCGTTCAACTGAATTAAAATGGCCGCCGGCAGCTGTATCCGAAGTGCCACTTCAAGGTTGTAGAACTGCACCAATATAAGTTAAAGGGGCAGAAACAGTATATGCCCAAATAATGCTTTTAAAAGGCAAACCATCCCAGGGGCCATAGTCACAGGGCAAGAGGCTGGCAAGCAGGCCTCTCCAAGTACAAGTGGCGAGTCTACCAAAGACAGAACAGACTGGAACATAGCGAGTCTCCCAGAGACAGCACAGACTGGAACCTAGCGAGTCTCCCAGAGACAGGACAGACTGGGACACAGCGAGTCTCCCAGAGAAAGGACAGACTGGAACACAATGAGCCTCCCAGAGACAGGACAGTCTGGAACATAGCGAGTAACCAAGAGAGAGGACAGACTGGAACATAGTGAGTCTCCAAGAGAGAGGACAGACTGGAACATAGGAAGTCTCCAAGAGAGAGGACAGACTGGAACACAATGAGTCTCTCAGAGACAGGACAGACTGGAACACAGCGAGTCTCTCAGAGACAGGACAGTCTGGAACACAGCAAGTCTTCCAGGACAGGACAGACTGGAACATAAAGAGAATCTCCCAGAGACAGCACAGACTGGAAAACAGCGAGACTCCCAGATACAGGACAGACTGGAACATAGCGAGTTTCCCAGACATAGAGAGTGGAGCATAGCAGGTCTCCCAGAGACTGAAACATAGCAAGTATTCCAGGACGGGACAGACTGGAACATAAAGAGAATCTCCCAGAGACAGCACAGACTGGAAGACAACGAGTCTCCCAGAGACAGCACAGACTGGAACATAGCTAGTCTGCCAGAGACAGGACAGACTGGAACATAGCTAGTCTCCCAGAGATAGAAAGACTGGAACATAGTATGTCTCCCAAAGACAGTACAGACTGGAAAACAGCAAGTCTCACAAAAAAAGCACACACTGAAACATAGCAAGCCTCCAAGAGACAGGACAGACTGGAACACAACAAGTATCCCAGAAACAGGACAGACTGGAACATAGCTAGTCTCCCAGATATAGCACAGACTGGAACATAGCGAGTCTCCCAGAGACAGGACAGACTGGAAGATAGCAAGTCTCCCAGAGATAGAGAGACTTGAACATAGCGAGTTTTCCAGAGACAGGACAATCTGGAACATAGAGAGTCTCCCAGAGATAGCACAGACTGGAACATAGTGTGTCTCCCAGAGACAGCACAGACTGGAACACGGCGAGTCTCCCAAATACAGGACAGACTGGAACATAGCGAGTCTCCCAGAAACAGCGCAGATTGGAACACAGCGAGTCTCCCAGAGACAGGACAGACTGGGACATAGCGAGTCTCCCAGAGACAGGACAGTCTGGAACATAAAGAGTCTCTCAGAGATAGACAGACTGGAACATAGCGAGTCTCTTGGCTGGTGTTCTGAAGTTAGGTGATTTAAAGGAACATTCATTTGTTCCACCTTGGACATTTGTCCTCAATATGAAGAGTCATGATATCTACAACCGTGTGAAATTAAGGACATTCTTACCTGGTGTCTGGTGTTCCTCTCCTAGAAGCTTCTGTGCGATGTGCTGCAGAGAGTGAAGGCTCCATGGCTCGTATTGATCATTGTTCAGGAATTGGTATAGGGGACATTTCTGGACTGAACTAAACTGAGAAATATTCTGCAGTAATAGAACATGAAGATACCTGCGAACACGCTGACAGAACCTACAACAGAAACTAGGGTCAATAAACCACGATTTATGCCACCTTTCACTGTAACCCATTGTTAACCATTGTAACCCTGTGTGACTGGTACACAATGGATACACTACACACAGGGATTATATGTAACTATGTGTGACTGCTACACAATGGATACACTACACACAGGGATTATATGTAACTATGTGTGACTGGTACACAATGGATACACTACACACAGGGATTATATGTAACTATGTGTGACTGGTACACAATGGATACACTACACACAGGGATTATATGTAACTATCTGTGACTGGTACACAATAGATACACTACACACAGGGATTATATGTAACTATGTGTGACTGATACACTACACACAGGGATTATATGTAACTATGTGTGACTGGTACACAATGGATACACTACACACAGGGATTATATGTAACTATGTGTGACTGGTACACAATGGATACACTACACACAGGGATTATATGTAACTATGTGTGACTGATACACTACACACAGGGATTATATGTAACTATGTGTGACTGGTACACAATGGATACACTACACACAGGGATTATATGTAACTATGTGTGACTGATACACTACACACAGGGATTATATGTAACTATGTGTGACTGGTACACAATGGATACACTACACACAGGGATTATATGTAACTATCTGTGACTGGTACACAATAGATACACTACACACAGGGATTATATGTAACTATCTGTGACTGGTACACAATAGATACACTACACACAGGGATTATATGTAACTATGTGTGACTGGTACACAATAGATACACTACACACAGGGATTATATGTAACTATGTGTGACTGATACACTACACACAGGGATTATATGTAACTATGTGTGACTGGTACACAATGGATACACTACACACAGGGATTATATGTAACTATGTGTGACTGGTACACAATGGATACACTACACACAGGGATTATATGTAACTATGTGTGACTGATACACTACACACAGGGATTATATGTAACTATGTGTGACTGGTACACAATGGATACACTACACACGGGGATTATATGTAACTATGTGTGACTGATACACAATGGATACACTAGACACAGGGATTATATGTAACTATGTGTGACTGATACACTACACACAGGGATTATATGTAACTATGTGTGACTGATACACTACACACAGGGATTATATGTAACTATGTGTGACTGGTACACAATGGATACACTACACACGGGGATTATATGTAACTATGTGTGACTGGTACACAATGGATACACTAGACACAGGGATTATATGTAACTATGTGTGACTGATACACTACGCACAGGGATTATATGTAACTATGTATCATTATAGCATACTGTAATCAGTCTGTGTGGACACCATCGTCTGTAATCTGTCTAAATTAACTCCAACTGTAACCTCGTCTGTCCCCTGTTCTAATAACAGAGCTCCTTCTCACCCCGCTCGTCCTCTGTTCTAATAACAGAGCTCCTTCTCACCCTGCTTGCCCCCTGTTGTAATAACAGAGCTCCTAGTGGATGCACGGAATAGCCTTCCAGCTGAAGTGGTAGAGGTTAACACAGTAAAGGAGTTTAAGCATGCGTGGGATAGGCATAAGGCTATCCTAACTATAAGATAAGGCTAGGGACTATGAAAGTATTTAGAAAATTGGGCAGACTAGATGGGCCGAATGGTTCTTATCTGCCGTCACATTCTCTGTTTCTGTCCTGTCCCTGTTCTAACAGAGCTCCTCCTCACCCAGTCTGCCCCCTGTTCTAATAATAGAGCTCCTTCTCACCCTGTCTGTCCCCTGTTCTAATAACAGAGATCCTTCTCAGCCTGTCTCTCCCCATTCAAGTAACAGAGCTCCTTCTCACCCTGTCTCTCTCCGTTCTAATAACAGAGCTCCTTCTCACCCTGTCTCTTCCCATTCTAGTAACAGAGCTCCTTCTCACCCTGTCTCTCCCCATTCTAGTAACAGAGCTTCTTCTCACCCTGTCTCTCTCTGTTCTCATAACAGAGCTCCTTCTCACTATTCTAATGACAGCACACCTTCTTGCTGTCACCTGTACCTGCTTACCTCTCTCTCAGTGTTTCTTTGTTGTATCTCTTATTTCTGCTCCTCTCACGTTGCTGTAGATCTTTCAGGATTTGATCCTCTTGGTCTGCATTATGAAGTCCTAGGATGGTTCCTTCACTTATCAGAGCTGAAAGCTCAATTAAAAACCTTATTGGGGCTCCTTCATGCACCAGGAATGCAGTTGAGCCACCTAAAACACTGGCTTTATAACATGCCTTCCTGTACAGAGCATAGCGCTCATCATCCATCTCTTTTCCACAGAGCTCCACCAATGAGCATTGGGTGAGCTGTGCTGCTAACTTTGCCAAACTCCTTCTTCCTGTAGCAGGGCACTGAGAGCACAGTGCTAGGTGACCCTGAGGCAGGACCAGCACACGGGTTAGACGGACAATATGCTGCAGGTCCTGAGGACAGAGTATCAGGCCAGCTGATTGCTTTATAAAGTAGGACGATCCTGACTGCTCCTTATATGTGGGAAGCTCTCCTCTTTGTTGTGTGCCAGATACCAGTGAATGGGAGAAGGTCAGGTCTTGCAGAGGTGTCTCATTTAATAGATAAGATGGAAGGAGATATTCCTCATTAGCAGAGGGGTTTGTTGAGGTGTGAGATGTACAAGGTGCATCAGCTGTCCTCTCCTGACTCCTTATCTGCTCACTCTCTCTATCTGATATTTCATGCTTAATGCCATCCCTGATGCACATATTTTGGTTGTTATTCTCTGGGTGGTTCATTTCCAGACCTCTATTCTGTGCTCCTAGCTGGTCCACCACCATAGCTCCATCCTGGGACCCTGGCTGGTTCTTCTCTGGAGCTCCATCCTGAGCAACTGGGTGGCTCTTTTCTGGAGCTCCATCCTGGGCCCCCAAGGGACAAAATTCCTGCACTGCACACATCAGCAGATGCTCACTGAATGCTAGCTTCTCTCTATCATCCTCCAGGATATCGCCAAAGGTGCGCAAAGCCTCATGCATCCAAAGGCGGACAATGCCCAATGTGGTGAGCAGAGCAGCAGGGAGGGAATGTTGAAAATGTGGGGAGAGATGGGGCCCTGGGGCTGAACACAGTAGAGTTATGCTGTTTATTAATCTATGAATGTGATGCAGAGAGAAGCAGTAATGTGGGGGGATAGTGTGTATCACTTTGTTGTACAGATTTACTGTTGCTCGACCAATGGCTTTACCAAGAAATAAAGCATGAGGCATAGATAGTGTCTTCTTCAACCATGTTGTCAGATGCAGGGTGAACACACTCAACAGAGACTCTGGACCCAACTCAGGCAAAACAAGGATGCAAAACAGACGGGTGAGTCTAGGACACAAGGCTCCTGCCCCATCTTGTGGAGAGCATGTTGTGCCCAGGATGCTTTTTAAAGGTACACAAGCTGTGTTTGCTGGATCAGAGATGATGCCCCTCAAGGTCTCGAGAACAGGACAGGTCTTGCTGAAAGAGTCTGAAGGGAAAAAGTAAACTAGTAAATTTAAAGAAAAGTAAATGAATCACTTATAGCTCTCATAACGTAAAATGTTTAAAAACAAATACTACTTAATAACTATCTGCTATATGGCTAAAGATTGAGTAATATAAAACTCATCCCAAGTTGATTTTCAATGTAAAATAACAGGCAGCAGAGATTAGAATAGTCAGAAACAACCTGAGGTCAGTGTGACAAATTCCCTTCTCCAAGTGAGTTTGCCATGAGCTCCTGGAGGTGCCTGCTTGCCAGCCTCCTGCCCACAGACTATGGGCCCTGCAGGGAAACCTGTAAAAGACTACCACACTTGACCGACTGCTAGCACTGATTTCCCTGGAATTTTTTTTAGCATGGGGCCATGCTTGGGGTCGGTCAAAACTATGACTTCCGGGAAATTCCTGAACCCCTGAACCGATCTGGGTGATTTTTGGATATGTTGTTCACCCAGATGAGGGCTATCCGGGGATTTATCATTTTTTGGGGGGTATGTTATGTTTTGGGGTACTTTCTGAACTTTGTGAAAATGTGTTTTTTCTGCCTGGAGATAATTGAGTTACTTACAGGACTTTACTCAATTATCTCCCAAGCAGAGGGGAGGGATTGTGTGCTGTACATAGGCGTGTCACAGACTGTATGTTTGTTCTGATTGGTTTGTGTCCTTTGTGTTCCTGTGCCCCATCAGATCCAGGGGGTGTTCCTCTGGCCTGGAGAATTGTATAAAAGCCAAACTGAACCATTAAACTCTCAGACCATCTTGCACCTTCATAAAGTTTTGGCTCATGTTTGGGAGGAATGGAGAACTACACTCTGGGGGATTGCTATAATCACTATACTCCCCTGAGTATAATCACTAATCTCTTGTAAGAGCTGTTCCTGCTATACTCTCTGGACTAAGAGAGGTCTACCCACTGGAAGCTGGATCCTGGTCATAGGTCTAGGGTGGGTAGAAGACAGCGAGATCCCAACCAAGCTGCGGCGGTTCGTGGGGTTTGCAGTAGTTATGGTGTTCCAGCACAGTGCTTATGGTACTCGTTAGTACTAGGAAGCAGCGATTGACGGAGGTACTCGGTCGGAGTGCCAGGCGGTTCGTCACAGTCAGTATTACAGAGATCGGAATAAATGTAAGATACTTCTGTCCTTGTTACAAGCAGGATAGTGTAGAATAGTCTGGATTAATCCAAGTTCAGGATTACAGAGATCGGGATAAATGTATGATAATTCTGTCCTTGTTACAGGCAGGATAGAAACATAGTGACGGCAGATAAGCGCCATTCGGTCCATCTAGTCTGTCCAATTTTCAAAATACTTTTTTTAGTCCCTGGCCTTATCTTATAGCTAGGGCTTTATCAAATATTCTATTCTCTACCTTGGGGTTTTACATCCAAGATGCATTATCTTGCACTTATCCACATTAAATGTCAGCTGCCACAACTCTGACCATTTTTCTAGTTTATCTAACTCATTTGCCATTTGGTTTATCCCTCCTGGAACATCAACCTTGTTACATATTTTAGTATCATCAACTGTAGAATAGTCTGAATTAATCCAAGGTCAGCATTAAAGATATCAGAATTAATGTAAAATCATTCTGTCCTTGTTAAAGGCAGGATAGTGTAGAATAGTCTGGATTAATCGGAGATCAGGATTACAGAGATTGGGATAAATGTAAGATAAACCTGTCCTTGTTACAGATAGGATAGTGTAGATTAGTCAGAAACAATCCAAGGTCAGGATTACAGAGATCAGGATTAATGTAAAATAATTTAGTCCTTGTTACAAATAGGATAGTGTAGATTAATCAGAAACAATCCAAGGTCAGGATTACAGAGATCAGGATTAATGTAAGATAATTCGGTCTTTGTTACCAATAAGATCACTAGCTTAATCGGAAACAATCCAAGGTCAGGATTACAGAGATGTTACGGACCATCCGCCAATCGATGCTCCTAGCGCTTACGAAGGACCATCAGCACCGCAGACTCTACGAACCGCCGTAGCTTGGTTGGGGTCTCGCTGTCTCCTCCAGGAGAGTATAGCTGTGGGAAGGACCTCTCCTCCAGGAGAGTATAGCTGTTGGTGCTGCTGTCTATTATCCTCGGAATCGGCATAAATAGGGTTGACCTCGTACAGTACTCCCATATATTCCTCGGGGTGAGTATCAGTGTCCACGCAGTGGGCAGCCGGGGTACGGGATGCCTCAGGGGCTAGAACCGGTGGTGAGTTGTTCCAGGAAGATCTGGGTTGACTAATAGGGCGATTGTCCATCAGGTGTCCTAGGGTGTGGAATCGGTGACACTTTATCTTAGAATTCCCCGAACCATGTCTGGGGGGACCAACATAACGAGTGGGGCCGGGTGAAATAGGGGCCCTAAACTCTGATAGTGGAGAGCATCTGGATACAAGGGGGTCCCGAGACTCCACTCAAAGGTGAGGTCGGGATAACGCAGCGTCTTGTCGTCTGTGATCCGCATATTCATCAGACAGGCGGGATGCTTCGGTGAGGGCATTGGGATGTCGATCTCGTACCCAGTGGCCCAATTCCTGAGGCAAGTTATCAAAGAAATGCTCCAGGAGAAACAGCTGTAGCACCTCCTCCGCAGATACCGCTTGGCAACCCTTGATCCAATGGGTAGCCGTGTGGCGCAGCCTGTGGGCTCATTCCTTCTGGTATCACATCCTCGCTTCTTAGTGTCCCTGAATTTCCGCCGGTATGCCTCAGGGGTTATGGCATACCGTTTAAGTAGAGTGTCTTTGACAAGGTGATATTGTGTTACTTCGTCTGCTGGGATAGCCCAGAAGGCTTCTAAGGCTTTCCTGGATAGCTTGCCAGATAGTATGGTGACCCATTCTTCTGTGGGTACCTGGTGAAGTGAGCACTGCCTTTCAAAGCCCGCCAAATAGCTGCCGATCTCCCCCTCTGCTTCCCGGAACAATCTAAATGCAGCAAAAGGTACCTTTCGCTTCTCCGGGGGGCAGGAACAAGTGTGACTGTGGGTGGCTCTGCAGGACGTTGAGCGGTCACCATACTCAGCTCTGCTGGGCTTCTGCTCTCACCTTTGCAAAGACCCGCTCAATCTGATCTTCGGACGGGTTTGGCAATCCTGGCAATTTCTCTGGCAATCCTGGCAATTTCATTCCCAGAGAGCATAGAAGGTTCTGCCATAATGAAGTTACAATCCAGCTGCTGTAGCTCCGCAATCAGCTCTCTTTTAGGTCGGTTGCTAGCGATCCCTCCACGTCTTTCCAGTAGATCCTTGAGGGTTGTCCTTTTTAGCTGCCCATATCATTTTTCCATCCGATCTGCACGTCTCCTGGGGTAAAAGGACAATCCCGCAGCTATACTCTATTGGAGGAGAGGTCCTTCCCACAGCTATACTCTCCTGGAGGAGACGGCGAGACCCTAACCAAGCTACAGCGGTTCATGGAGTCTGCGGTTGCTATGGTGTCCGGTGCGGTTCTGATGGTCCTTGGTAAGCATAGGAGCATCGATTGGTGGATGGTCCGTAACAATTGGTGGCAGCAGAGGGATGCCCAGGAAGGCCAGGACATGGGTCTTGGTGTGAGGAGTGGGCCAGTTAGAGGTGTGCCTCTGGCCTGAAAATATGTATAAGAGAAATGCCCTTGCACTTAATAAACCAGACCTTCTTACCCTCAGCTCGTGTTGTAGGGAACAGCTATACCAGCTATATCACTGCTAGCTCTTGTAAGAGATCTCCCTTCAGCTATACAGCTATACTCTCCTGGAGGAGAGATCCAGCTATACTAGCTCCTCAGGATATCGAGTTGGAGCTCTGCAGCGCTCTCCAGTTATAGGATAGAAGGACGTCCAGACAGTAGATACCCCCACTCTATAGGGGTAACATAGAAACATAGAATAGAAACATAGAATGTGACGGCAGATAAGAACCATTCGGCCCATCTAGTCTGCCCAATTTTCTAAATACTTTCTTTAGTCCCTAGCCCTATCTTATAGTTAGGATAGCCTTATGCCTATCTTGTAACCATCACAAGAGATCAGGATTAATGTCAAATAATTCTGTCCTTGTTGCAAATAGGATAGTGTAGATTAGTCAGAAACAATCCAAGGTCAGGATTACAGAGATCAGGATTAATGTAAGATTATTGTGTCTTTCTTAGAGACAGGATAGTGTAGAATAGTCTGAATTAATCTGAGGTCAGGATTACAGAGATCGGGTACCCACTCCCTATATATGCTTAAGAAAATAAAAAGTGTCAAATTCCCCCCCCCAAAAAATGTAAGATTATTGTGTCCTTGTTACAGGCAGGTGTAGAATAGTCTGGATTAATCTGAGGTCAGGATTACAGATATTGAGATAAATGTAAAAAATAAATCTGTCCTTATTACAGGCAGGTGTAGAATAGTCTGGAACAAGCCAAGTTTAGAGTGTTTAGGCAGGCAGACTCAGTATCAGTATCATCAAGACTCACAAATAATCTATAAATCATAAAAGGGACAAGGTAGTGCCAAAAGAATGTCTTAAATAGACTTGGTAACAGAAGCTTTTCCCACCTTTGTACAGGTGCCTCGGGAACTGCACTCACATGTCATCTTACTAATGCTAAAGGTATGGATGGAGAAGGAGCTTGTGGAACTGGCCTCTTTGGCCCAGATACTGTGTCTCCCTGTCAGTAGATGGATGCAATTTTAGTTGGGATGTGTTCAGTGTCCTCTCCTCTGTTAGCTCAGTATTATAGTGTTTCCCTATTATTTTAGAATCTTACAGATTAGAAAAAACTGGCTGCCCGACCACTTCCTTAATAGGACAGGACACTCCAATCATACTCCATAACTTGAGTGCATTTGATATTTGGTCTCACATTTATGTTGTGTTTTTCTTCATTCAAATCTAGTTTTGATACAAAATAAAAAAGCTTTGCCATTTAATGCAGCTGTTAAGACACCTCCCGTGTCTTTAAGCCAAACCGCCGTTTAGTAAACCTTCCCCGGCTGCAGTACAGTCTCTGTTCGCTTACTCTGTAACCCACGAACCAAATGCAGGGGAAGCGGCAATCTCCCGATCGAAATCCACGAACGGCTCCAAACTCCCGAACGGCAATATACGAACTGCTAGGAACCGTCGAACAATAATATCCCCAAAGCGGCTTTCGTTCCATCCAGCAGTCTCTAAACGTGAAGAAGAAATCCCCCCAATAACGAGACAGAAGCTCCGCATTGAGGGTCAAATAAGATCTGGGTTTACTGTGGGCTACCTGCCCGTATTTATGCAGGTCTCCCACCTGGTGGACACTCCCCTAGGGGACCAAATGGAAGACTTAAAGTACAGACAGATAGCAGGACATTTCTGACACACAGTCACATATTTTACCCACAGTACATTCTGATTCCCTCCCCTCTGTCCTGGAGTTAATTACCAAGTAACTCAATTAACTCCAGGACAAGGACAGTCGCCATCTTAAACATGAAATAATAAAAGACACAAAAATGCATAACTACATGAAAACTGAACATTTCCCATTCGTATTACATGTCCCCAGATAGCCTGGATCTGAGTGCATATTATTGGCGAATAGCGCTCAGATCCCACACACATAGTTCAATCGCCATGGAGTCAAAGTTCTTACAGTCCTTCGGTACACGAATGACTCCATGGGTGGGCTATCTGGGTTAAGTCTTTTGTGTGTTCTCAATCTCCCGAACGGCCGATGTTCGCATGCTTTCGTGGAGGCAGCCAGGCGTTCCCTTGTTTCAGCGGTGTTCGACAGAAAAAGTGTCCGTTTTCCGTTCCATAGAAATAGAGCCAAACACCGCTGAGCGTTCGCATGATTTAAAATGGCCGCTGCCTCGTGGTCGACATACGAACGACGACCACCCTGAGTTCGGTTTAATTGAGAAGTGTCTGCGGTTAACCACAACGTTATAATGGTGATCACTTCGTTAACCTGCAGCACACTCCTCACTTGGGTGGCCGTTCGTTCGGCGGTTTTGTTCGGGAAAAAGAGTCATTCGAATGGCTGGGCTATAGAAACCAGCCATTCATACGAACGGGGACAAACAGACGAACGGGCAAAAATCCAGCAGACAGATGGTTCTGTCACACGGCTCCCTCCTTGTGGGACACTCCGGCAGACCCGGCTTGACCCTGTGGCGGGTCAACTTGGGGATGACCGGACTACGAGGTGATGGAAACGTCTGTTTGTCGTGACAACCCATCTGCGTTTCCGTTTAGCTTACCGGGTCTGTAGCTGATGGTAAAATTGTAGGGCTGTAGTGCCAAGCTCCATCTCAGCAGTCTCCCATTGTCTCCTGAGACCCGGTTAAGCCAAACGAGTGGGTTGTGATCAGTCACAAGGGAAAACTCTTGCCCATACAAATAGGGGCTTAACTTTTTCAATGCCCAGACCAAAGCCAAACACTCCTTCTCCACTGCCGCATAACTCACTTCTCTGGGTAACAACTTTCTGCTGAGATATGCGACAGGGTGCTCTCCTCCATCTTCCCCGACTTGGCTCAGCACAGCCCCCAGTCCATACATGGAAGCATCTGTATGGACGAGAAAGCGTTTGTTAGGGACTGGGGCAGCCAAGACAGGGGCATTCACAAGAGCCTGCTTCAGTGCCTGGAACGCAGCTTCACAAGCCGGAGACCACAGGACCTGCTTAGGCAAGTTCTTCTTCGTCAGGTCTGTCAGGGGCTTAGCGATAGCGCTGTAGTCAGGGACAAAACGTCTGTAGTACCCTGCCGTCCCCAAGAAGGCCAATACCTGGGTCTTAGTAGTAGGTGTGGGCCAGTTAGCCACTGCCTCTACCTTGGCTGGCTCCGGTCTCTGGCTCCCACACCCCACTCTGTGACCCAGGTACTGCACTTCAGCCATACCTAGATGACACTTTTCTGGCTTCAACGTCAGGCCAGCGGCCCTAATCTTATCCAGCACTACCCCTACATGTACCAGGTGTTCCTCCCAGGACCCACTGTAGATCGCAATGTCGTCCAAGTATGCACAGGCAAATTCTTGGAAGCCATCCAGGAGTCTATCCACCATCCGTTGGAAAGTAGCCGGTGCATTTTTCATCCCAAAAGGCATGACCTTAAATTGGTACAGGCCAAATGGGGTGACAAATGCCGACTTGGGGATAGCATCCTCGGCCAGGGGGATCTGCCAGTAGCCCTTACACAGGTCTATGGTGGTCAGATATCGCCCCCTGGCAATACGATCTAGTAATTCGTCTACCCGGGGCATTGGGTAGGCGTCAGTGGTGGTCCGCTCGTTGAGTCGCCTGTAGTCCACACAGAACCGGGTGGTCCCATCTTTCTTTGGCACCAGGACTACAGGCGAGGCCCAAGGGCTGTCGGAGTGCTCGATAACCCCAAGTTGGGTCATCTCCTGTATCTCCTTCCGCATTCCTTCACGGACTGCTTCAGGGATACGGTAGGGGGGCTGTCGTAACGGGGTCTGTCCAGGGGTCTCTACCTTATGCACAGCTAGGGTGGTATAACCTGGTTCCTGGGAGAACGTCGCCTGCTTCTCCCATAACAACTGCTGCGCCTGTACCCTTTCTGTGGGGTTCAACCGGTCCCCTAGCTGTACCAAGGTAGTAAGGTCAGTCTGGGAATCCCTTTCTAATAGATCTGGAAGGGGTAAATTCTCAGAATCATCTGCAGCTGGGGCACACACTGCTGCAATATTCTCAGGTCTCTCCTGGTACTCTTTCAGCATGTTCACATGAAAGGACCGCTGGATCCTCTCATCTGCACAGCTGGCTATCAAGTAAGTAGTGTCGCAGATCTGCGCCACTACCTTGTACGGGCCCTGCCAAGATGCTTGCATCTTGTTGGCCTTCACAGGTTTAAGCACCAATACCTTTTGCCCAACCTGGAAGACCCGCTGTCGGGCACCCTGATCGTACCATCTCTTCTGTCTCCCCTGGGCCGCCTGGAGATTCTCCCTTACCATCAGGGACAGTTTCTCCATGCGGTCCCGGAGTTCCAGAACATATGGCACTATGGGGGTCCCTTCCTGCTCCGTCTCCCCCTCCCAGTGGCCTCTAATGAGATCTAGGGGTCCGCGGACCCTTCTCCCATACAGCAGCTCAAAGGGGGAGAACCCAGTAGATTCCTGGGGCACTTCTCTATAAGAAAATAATAGATGAGGCAGGAATCTCTCCCAGTCTCTGCAAGTGTCTGTAAAGGTCCTCAGCATCTGTTTGAGGGTACCGTTAAAGCGCTCGCAGAGACCGTTAGTCTGTGGGTGGTAGGGTGAGCTAAGTAACGGCTTAATGCCGCACACCTTCCACAGTTGCTGGGTGAGCACAGCGGTGAATTGGGTTCCCTGGTCGGAGAGGATCTCCTTAGGGAACCCGACCCTAGTAAAAATTCTAACCAGGGCATCAGCAACCGTCTCTGCCTCTATGTTAGACAGCGCTACTGCCTCTGGATAGCGGGTGGCATAGTCCACCACGGTAAGAACATACTTCTTACCGGATGGACTAGCCCTGGCCAGTGGACCCACAATGTCAACGGCTATGCGGGCAAAGGGCTCCCCTATAATAGGCATCGATAATAGCCTAGCCTTAGGGTGGTCCCCCCGCTTTCCTACCCGTTGACATGTGTCACACGTGCTGCAGTACATCCGCACAGCCTGGTTAAAGTTTGGCCAAAAGAAGTTCTGTGAAATCCTATAGGCTGTGCGGCGGGACCCTAGATGTCCAGCTAAAGGAACATCATGCCCTATCCGCAGAATCTCCTGCCGGTACTTTGCAGGTACCACTAACTGGCGATTCGGCGGAGAGGCAACACTCTTCTGGGAAGGTTTAGGGATCCTATATAACCTGTCCCCCACCCACTCATACCGTTCCCCATCTATTCCTTCCTCCCCAGCCTCTGCCCTGTCCTTGTATCTTTGGAGGGTCGGATCCGCCCGGGTTTCCCTCCCAAACTCCTCTGGGGAATCCCAGCTTAAGGGGACCTGATCTGGGGTATCAGTCGGGGAAGGAGATCTTACCTGGGTCTCGTCAGCAAGTGGGCTGGTTCCGGCAGCACGGGTCTGGGCACGGGTGGTCACTGGGTTCACGTCTGCAGGGCCCATCGGAGCATAGGCTGAAACCAAAGGGGCCAAATCGTTTCCCAAAAGAACATCTGCGGGCAAGTCCTTAAGTGTAGCACGCCTTAATTCCTCGTACTGCATGTCTTGTAGCTGACCTCCAGTGCTGTAGGATTCATCCCACCGCTGCCACCAATTGTTAAGACACCTCCCGTGTCTTTAAGCCAAACCGCCGTTTAGTAAACCTTCCCCGGCTGCAGTACAGTCTCTGTTCGCTTACTCTGTAACCCACGAACCAAATGCAGGGGAAGCGGCAATCTCCCGATCGAAATCCACGAACGGCTCCAAACTCCCGAACGGCAATATACGAACTGCTAGGAACCGTCGAACAATAATATCCCCAAAGCGGCTTTCGTTCCATCCAGCAGTCTCTAAACGTGAAGAAGAAATCCCCCCAATAACGAGACAGAAGCTCCGCATTGAGGGTCAAATAAGATCTGGGTTTACTGTGGGCTACCTGCCCGTATTTATGCAGGTCTCCCACCTGGTGGACACTCCCCTAGGGGACCAAATGGAAGACTTAAAGTACAGACAGATAGCAGGACATTTCTGACACACAGTCACATATTTTACCCACAGTACATTCTGATTCCCTCCCCTCTGTCCTGGAGTTAATTACCAAGTAACTCAATTAACTCCAGGACAAGGACAGTCGCCATCTTAAACATGAAATAATAAAAGACACAAAAATGCATAACTACATGAAAACTGAACATTTCCCATTCGTATTACATGTCCCCAGATAGCCTGGATCTGAGTGCATATTATTGGCGAATAGCGCTCAGATCCCACACACATAGTTCAATCGCCATGGAGTCAAAGTTCTTACAGTCCTTCGGTACACGAATGACTCCATGGGTGGGCTATCTGGGTTAAGTCTTTTGTGTGTTCTCAATCTCCCGAACGGCCGATGTTCGCATGCTTTCGTGGAGGCAGCCAGGCGTTCCCTTGTTTCAGCGGTGTTCGACAGAAAAAGTGTCCGTTTTCCGTTCCATAGAAATAGAGCCAAACACCGCTGAGCGTTCGCATGATTTAAAATGGCCGCTGCCTCGTGGTCGACATACGAACGACGACCACCCTGAGTTCGGTTTAATTGAGAAGTGTCTGCGGTTAACCACAACGTTATAATGGTGATCACTTCGTTAACCTGCAGCACACTCCTCACTTGGGTGGCCGTTCGTTCGGCGGTTTTGTTCGGGAAAAAGAGTCATTCGAATGGCTGGGCTATAGAAACCAGCCATTCATATGAACGGGGACAAACAGACGAACGGGCAAAAATCCAGCAGACAGATGGTTCTGTCACAGCAGCCATGCTCTATTTTACAAAGTAACTTCCTTTTTAAATGTAATATGTACTGAGCTCAGCCAATAAGCGATCAGTATGAGCTGAGCTGTTGTCATCATTCCACCATGTAGAAAATCTCTGGCTACTTTTCCAATTGCACAGCTTTGGAATACTACATAGAGAGTATGAGGAAAATGATTGGCTGTGGGGCAGAGTCATGTAAGCAGCTCAGCTCACATTGATCTCTCATTGGCGGAGCCCAGTGCGTACTCCAAATACAGGGAGTGCAGAATTATTAGGCAAATGAGTATTTTGACCACATCATCCTCTTTATGCATGTTGTCTTACTCCAAGCTGTATAGGCTCGAAAGCCTACTACCAATTAAGCATATTAGGTGATGTGCATCTCTGTAATGAGAAGGGGTGTGGTCTAATGACATCAACACCCTATATCAGGTGTGCATAATTATTAGGCAACTTCCTTTCCTTTGGCAAAATGGGTCAAAAGAAGGACTTGACAGGCTCAGAAAAGTCAAAAATAGTGAGATATCTTGCAGAGGGATGCAGCACTCTTAAAATTGCAAAGCTTCTGAAGCGTGATCATCGAACAATCAAGCGTTTCATTCAAAATAGTCAACAGGGTCGCAAGAAGCGTGTGGAAAAACCAAGGCGCAAAATAACTGCCCATGAACTGAGAAAAGTCAAGCGTGCAGCTGCCACGATGCCACTTGCCACCAGTTTGGCCATATTTCAGAGCTGCAACATCACTGGAGTGCCCAAAAGCACAAGGTGTGCAATACTCAGAGACATGGCCAAGGTAAGAAAGGCTGAAAGACGACCACCACTGAACAAGACACACAAGCTGAAACGTCAAGACTGGGCCAAGAAATATCTCAAGACTGATTTTTCTAAGGTTTTATGGACTGATGAAATGAGAGTGAGTCTTGATGGGCCAGATGGATGGGCCCGTGGCTGGATTGGTAAAGGGCAGAGAGCTCCAGTCCGACTCAGACGCCAGCAAGGTGGAGGTGGAGTACTGGTTTGGGCTGGTATCATCAAAGATGAGCTTGTGGGGCCTTTTCGGGTTGAGGATGGAGTCAAGCTCAACTCCCAGTCCTACTGCCAGTTCCTGGAAGACACCTTCTTCAAGCAGTGGTACAGGAAGAAGTCTGCATCCTTCAAGAAAAACATGATTTTCATGCAGGACAATGCTCCATCACACGCGTCCAAGTACTCCACAGCGTGGCTGGCAAGAAAGGGTATAAAAGAAGAAAATCTAATGACATGGCCTCCTTGTTCACCTGATCTGAACCCCATTGAGAACCTGTGGTCCATCATCAAATGTGAGATTTACAAGGAGGGAAAACAGTACACCTCTCTGAACAGTGTCTGGGAGGCTGTGGTTGCTGCTGCACGCAATGTTGATGGTGAACAGATCAAAACACTGACAGAATCCATGGATGGCAGGCTTTTGAGTGTCCTTGCAAAGAAAGGTGGCTATATTGGTCACTGATTTGTTTTTGTTTTGTTTTTGAATGTCAGAAATGTATATTTGTGAATGTTGAGATGTTATATTGGTTTCACTGGTAATAATAAATAATTGAAATGGGTATATATTTGTTTTTTGTTAAGTTGCCTAATAATTATGCACAGTAATAGTCACCTGCACACACAGATATCCCCCTAACATAGCTATAACTAAAAACAAACTAAAAACTACTTCCAAAAATATTCAGCTTTGATATTAATGAGTTTTTTGGGTTCATTGAGAACATGGTTGTTGTTCAATAATAAAATTAATCCTCAAAAATACAATTTGCCTAATAATTCTGCACTCCCTGTACGTCTTCTAAGGAAGTTGCTTTGTGAAAAAAGGGTTGTGGCTAAAGGCACAGAGTTATGGTGCAGAACGGTGCAAAAACTTTTTTTCTTCTTTTAAGCAAAACTAAAGTGGTTTGAATTGGGAGAGAAACAGCATGAATATGAGGACAAAGCCTGTCAAATACACTTAGTGGATCAAAGGCACTATGTTGGTGCCCAAAGTGTTCCTTTATGTCTCCCACTTGGTCCACATTCCTGTAATCATTGTGCTCTCTTTACAACCGTTGTTTGTTCAATAAAGGAGAAGTTCTGTTCTCCATTTCATTTTATGACTGGCTGATGGATAACAATGGATGGAGGAACTCCCCACTGGACTTTTCCTCCATGGAGAGGGGGAGAACGCTGTGGAATAATAGATCTTGATCCCTAGCCAGTCCTCCAGTGTTCCAAGCTCCAACTTGTCAGCTTGAATCAGAATTAATGACAAAATGGGGCTGGTGATGGTGACTCACAATTGATGTAGAGGCCCTGGGGAGATAGCGCACATGTAGGAGTGTGGGTAGATGTATGGGATTGGTTGGGAAAGAGTGTGTGGGTGGGATTATGTTCTGTGTAAGTTAGTGTGGGGGAGGTCTTACCTCAGTGCCACTTGGGATTCAGGCCAGCAAACAGCTTCCTGTCCTCCTGCTCCTGTTTGCCAGGGCCTGCAGATTTACACAGCTTGAGGGATGGAAGTTGAGGCCTACTGGCTTCCCTCCAAGCTGCTGCAGCTTGGATGGTGGCCGGCGACTCCTGATTCAGGTGCTCCCCTTTCCTGGATCCTCTCCCCTGGGGTGGCTGCTGGTGTGGGGCTCCCTGCCGCGGCCTGTCTCCATCTGGGGCCTTCCCTGCAGCCTGGATCCCTCTGGACTGTGGCCCCCACCCCCCCTCCCCTGGGCGGCTGCCGGTGTGGGTTTCCCCCCCCCCCACGGCCTGTCTTCATCCATCTGGGGCCTTCCCTGCGGCCCCTGCTCCTGGGGGCCGCGATAGTGACGGCCGGCATTCCCGCCCGCCGGCTCCACTAACCCCCCGATGCTGCTCCTCGGGCCCAGTTGAGGAGGTGGAGCCTGGGCCCAAGGCTTCACCCGGCCGCGTGTCTGAGGCTCCAGACACGCGGCCTGCTACTGCCGTGCGGGACTTGTGGCCTCCCCCTCCTGCAGCCGGATCACTAGCTACGGCCTCAGGCATTGGTATTCGTGCTGGAGGCAGTAGGAGGCAGGTGGCGCTTCCCTGCCTTGCGTGGCCGGCCAGAGGCCTTCTGACACCACCGCATGGCAGGCGTGACGGCGGGGCCTTTGACGGGGCCCCGGAGGCGAGTGAGCCCGGGGGGCCGAGAGGGGACTGATCCAGTGCCGTTGGGTGTGGGAGGGGGAACCTCTCCTGGGGGCCTCCTCTGCCAGTTTCTTCCCTTCCCTCCCCTCTTTTCTCCGGTTCCATTTTGGCATTCTGGGGGGCCTCAGCTCCTCCCCTGGTGGCCCCCTGTTTACCTTCTGTCGGTCCCTCTGTTCTTTCCCCCCTTTTTCCCTTCTCTCTGTTTTCTTCCTCCTTCCCCTCTCTCGGTTTCTCTCCTCTTTGTCCTCCCTCCCTTTTCCTCTCTTCCCCTGCTCTTACCTGTTCCTGGGTCTTCTCTTCCTTCTGTTATTCTCTCTCTGCCTTCTGCTCTTCTCTCTGCTGGTTACTTACCTCGGCTGCAGTTCTTAGAAATGCCCAGCAGGTGGCGCCTGGAACACCTTGGAAGAACACAGTGTAAGCTGATTTCAATATCTTCTGCCTGGACTTCTACGCTTGTTATGCTGCGGGTGGTGCACCGGGCATTGGCTGGTGAGTACGTTGTCCCTTCTTGTATCCAGTCAGGTCCCTTTAGAGCTGGGAGGTCTTAGCGTGCGCAAAAAAAAAAATTAAATAAATAAATAAATAAAAATATTGAAATTTAAACCCCCCCCACCCCAAAAAAAACCTGAATGAATACATGAACAGAATGAGAAATTAAAGATAAAAAAAAAAAAAGGAAAAACGGTAGCTGGACGCCGCTTATCAGTATTTATCATATGTTATAGTACAGTTTCCTGCAGTATCCTGCGCAGCTAATAGCGCTGGCATTGCCTCCCAAGAGGCGGGCGGTTAGGGTGGCTCAGGATGCTGCTGCGGGGCGCTAGAATGGCCTGCTTGACTTGCGCGTGTCGCGTAATACTAAGGAGCAGTGGTGCAGGTTTTTTTTCTTGGTGATATGTTCCCTCATGCCGCGGGGGGTCCCGTGCTTGGGAGGGACTCCAGGTGGGGCGCGGGGGAAAAATACCGTAATAGGTTGCACCCCATGACGCACAGGAAGTGTGTCAGGGCATCGTATGTTTCTGGATAGCATTGTCAGGGAGAGGGCTCCCCGGGTATGCTCCACATGTTTCTACTGTTGGGACACTCTCTGTGTCATTGCTAGGGTGAGCTGGGTTGGTGGGAATTCGCCGACGGCAAATGGGGTCCTCGTGGGGGATCCGGTCGCGGGGGGGGGGCCCATCCCGTCCCCCACGTTTTTTTGATGCGGGCAATCTGTCGGGTATTAGGGGATGCGGATGCTCTCCGAGCAGGACCATTCGGCCCATATGAGACTTCCATTAGGTGGTGCGGGAGCGGCTTACCAAGAAAGCTTGATAAGCTTACCTCCCGACCAATTTTAGGGTGCCCCCGAAGTCCGCTCCATTGGTCCCCCCCTTAGAGGGGCAGGGTCGATATCGCATGATTTCTTATTTACTCAGTTGTCTTTCCCTACAAGGGGTTAGCAGGGCCGGACTGGGGATACAAAGCAGCCCTGGAAAAAAAATTTGTGCCAGCCCCATAAGTCACTGCACCATATATTGTCGCGTGTAATATGTAAGGCTATGTCTTGCCAGGACAGATGATTGAGTAATATATATATATATATATATATATATATAGAAATACAAATGGATGGTTGCACTCACGGTTTTTTAAATTAAAAGTCCAAAGTTTATTGTCAGATAGTAAAAACTGCGATCAACGTTTCAGTCCTTCCATGAGGACTTTCATCAGGATCATATATATTGCTTTTTCTAATATAAAATATTGGTCCTTTCAGGGTAAAACGTTTAATTATACAGTAAGCATACTCACATGCAGACACAGGCAATTTCACTGACATCTCAATGACACACACAAGCTCATTGATACACAGCCTCATAGACAAACAATCTTACTGATATACATCAGCTCATTGACATAAAAACACAAGCTCACTCACTAGCAGGCACACGCATGCAAGCAAGCTCACTCACTAGCAGACGCACACACACAGCTTAATGTGGTGGTACTGGTGTCATAGCATGTCCCTACAGGCTTTTCAACGTAAACACTGACTTTTCAGAGAAAAGGCAGTGTTTACATTGCTTCAAAGTGACACTGCTAGTGACAGTCACTCAGACGGTCACTAGAGGTGCTTCCTGTGTTAGTGCACCTACATTCAGGGCCTCCACACTCTGTAGGTGCTGAACGTTCCCCATAGAGATACATTGATTCAATGCATCTCTATGAGGAGATGCTGATTGGAGTGGTGTTTTGCAGCCAATCCTATGGCAAAGCATTGGATTGGCTGAGATCATCAAGCTTGATGATCTCAGCTATAGAGGCAGGGCCAGTCGAGGGGAGACCAGCACGCTGCGTGGGGAAAAAACGCTATTTTTAAACACACATTTACATCACGACAGACACAGAAACACACATATACCATGACAGATACACACCCCATGACAGACACACACACACACCATGACAGACCATGACACAGACAGACACACACCATGATGGACAGACTGACACACACACACCCCATGACGGACAGAAAGACACACACACCCCATGACGGACAGACAGACACACACACACCCCATGCCGACAGACCCCAGACAGACACACACACACCCCATGATGGACAGACAGACACACCCCCCATGACGGACAGACACACACACACACCATGATGGACAGACACACACACACCATACAGACAGACACCATGACACAGACAGACACACACACACCATACATACAGACAGACACACACACACAAACCATACATACAGACAGACACCATGACACAGACAGACAGACACACCATACATACAGACAGGACAGACACACACACACCATACAGATAGACAGACACCATGACACAGACAGACACACACACATGCATACAGACAGACACACACACACATACACAGAACATGACACAGACAGACAGACAGACACACACACCATACAGACAGACACCATGACACAGACAGACAGACACACACACACACCATACAGACAGACACCATGACACAGACAGACAGACACACACACACCATACAGACAGACACCATGACACAGACGGACAGACACACACACCATACAGACAGACAGACACCATGACACAGACAGACAGACACACACCAGACAGACACCATGACACAGACAGACACACACACCATACAGACAGACAGACAGACACCAGACAGACACCATGACACAGACAGACAGACACACACACCATACAGACAGACACCATAACACAGACAGACACATTACTTGTACCTGCCAGGGGGAGGTCTTCTGGGGGCCGCTAAGGAGGTCTTCTGGGGGCTTCTGGAGTCCGCTGGGGGACTTGTCCTGGCGGCCGCTGGGAGAGTTGCGCTGGCTCTGCTCTCCCGTCCTCGCGCGCTGCTGAATGAGACCGGCGCCGGAATATGACGTCATATTCCGGCGCCGGTCTCATTCAGCTGCGCGCTGGGGAGCAGAGCCAGCGCAGCTCCCCCAGCGGCCGCCAGAAGCCCCCAGGAGACCTCCCCAGCGGCCGCCAGCAGACCCAGGTGTCTGCCCGGCCCCAGGTGCCGACGGCCCACCGGGAAATTTCCTGGTATCCCGGTGGGCCAGTCCGGCCCTGGGGGTTAGGTATGGGAGGGCATGAAAACGGTCCGCGTGGTTAGGGCTGCAGGGCTCTGGGGCCTTGCTGACAAAGGCAGCAGTGGAATCGGCTTTCCAGCTGCTGCTGATGCGCCCAGCAGGTTATTGTTTTCCGGGCTGTATTTCTGACGGTCAGTGTTATGTGGCTATGTGCCTCCGCACGGGTGGCTCTTAATGTCGCTTATGTGTGTGGCCGACAGTGTCGCACGTCGCGCTCTGCTGCTGTGGTGTTTTTCTTGGGGTAGTGTTTCAGCGATTCGGAGTTCCATGGGTCGGGATACGTGCGGTAGTCTCCTGGATAGTGGGATCGAGTACGGCCAGGGAACGTCGGTTAGCCCAGATTGCGGTTTTGTACATCCGGTGGGAGGTGTCGTGGTTTTGGGGGTGTTGGGGGTTTCAGCTGTGCTACCCAGGGGCTCTCCTGGGTAAGCTGGGCTTTTCCTGTCGGTGTTGCTCTTGGAAGTGTCTGGTCAGTCGGGTTTACCCGGGGATTCACAAGGTAATGGTTCACTGTAGGACGAACTTCAGATGGGGGCTCCGCCGGGCCACATTATAAGGCAGTGGAGTCATGGTCACTTGGTCTAGCGGCTCTTGAAGCTGGTCCATGGGTCGCTCTCTGAGGCGGTGTGGGGCCCACTACAGTAAAGTGTGAGCGATCGGGCTGGATGAGTGCATTTCCTTGTCGGCTTCCCGTTCATGTTACAGTCATCTGCATGTGGGCAGGGGTTTTGGTGGATCGAGTAAGTGTCGGAATGGACTTCCTTCAGGCTTTCGTCGCTCGACGGCTGTTGCATTAGGGAAAGGTAAGTTGGTAGCGGTTGGCTGATTCATCAATAGAATCTGTTCCATTCTCGGACGTTGCAGGTAGATTTTCTCTTGAGGTAGATGGAATGCACAGGGTGATGGTTAAGCTCCTAACAGGATGTACTAGGTTCCCAGGATAGTTGGATTTATACTGTTCCGATTGGGGGGGAACGCCGGGTTCCGACATGTGTCCTGTTTTTCTTCGGTGAGGGCTATTCCGCCCCTGGGTTATTCGGCCTCCTCACCCCTGGTTTGGTTCTCGAAGCCGGGTTTTCTCTCCTGCGTCCATGTCGTTGGGGTGCTCCAATGGGGGTTCGAATTCCTGGGTAAGGATGGTGGAGAGTTCAAGGGGCATTCAGTCCGGTTAGGGGCGGCTACAGACGCCGCCAGGCTTGGATGGTCGGGGTCATGGTGGTAGGTTCCTTGGGTTCACCCTGCCAGTCTCCGAATGGATTTCTCTCCGCGGTTAGGGTCTCCCCTCTCCCCCCCGGAATAGGCAGGGGCCGAGTGGTTCTTACGCCTTCGGGAGCGGAGGTTCGGTGGTCTGGCACCAGATAAATGAGGGGGGTGTGGCTCCTCTTCGTACGGGGTCAGCTGTCCCGTCTCATGGGGGTACTGGGGGTTTTGTCATCTCTGGGTGGAATGACATGGGTCCGGTGACTGTTTGGGATTTGGGTGCTCTTAAATCTTGACATGTTATGCATTCTGTTTCTTCCCAGAGGTTCTCAGGGGCTGGGCTGAGGCTATCGCCTGTTCCTGTTGGCAGTGCACGCAGCAATGTGAGTGCCCTGGTGTGCTGCCGTTGAAAATCGGACGAGATGGGTTTCTTGGGGGCTTGGGGGATTCTAGTTCACCTTAGGGTTTGGCCAGATGTGGCCTAGTTATCTCGAGGGGATGGGTGCACTTGCTGGAGGTCGGACTAGGCCTATGTTAATCTAGCCCTGCAAGAAGTGGTGGAACAGGCTATGGCTGGTTGTGGTGGGGTCCCCCGCTGATTTTAGGTGTAAAACAGCGGTGTTGTGGTGGGGGTATGTTCTTGCCAACTGAGTTTGAGGGGTTATGTTTAAGTATATGGAATGAGATGAACAAGTTTTAAGGTCTCAACCTCCCCTCCTTCAAATGGTTAACATAAGGTTACCTGAAGTGTCGTGCCCATCGAGCGTGGATAAGGTCGGCTGATGGCGGGCATTGGAAAGAATGATTTTTATGACGAGGGGGGAGGTGAGAGGAAGTGGTGATTAGGAACCACTGTATGTTTGTTGGCAAGGACGGTTGGGTCACTGTATAACACTATGTGTGGAGTCATATATGTATGTCTTATGCAGTAATTTAGTTTGTGATAATAAATGCTGTGGCCTGTTTCATCCATACTAAGTGGTCTGTCGTTATTGGGGGGTTGAATGGGGTTAGTTTATGTTCTAGGCTGCATCGCGATTCCCCACTACTTACATACAAGGCCCTGGGGAGATAGCGCAGCTAAGCGGACAAGGGCACATTTAGGAGTGTGGGGATAGATGCATGGGATTGGTTGGGAAAGAGTTTGTGGGTGGGATTATGTTCTGTGTAAGTTAGTGTGGGGAAGGTCTTACCTCAGTACCACTTGGGATTCGGGCCAGCAAACAGCTTCCCTCCCGCCCGCCCTATTAGTATATTTAGTCACAGCTAGCCGGGGGTATGTTCTTGCCAATTGAGTTTGAGGGGTTACGTTTAAGTATATGGAATGAGATGAACAAGTTTTAAGGTCTCAACCTCCCCTGCTTCAAACGGTTAACATTAGGTAACCTGAGGTGTCGTGCCCATCAAGCGTGGATAAGGTCGGCTGATGGCGGGCATTGGAAAGATATGATTTGAATGACGAGGGTGGGAGGTGAGAGGAAGTGGTGATTATGAAACACTGTTTGTTTGTTGGCAAGGACGGTTGGGTCACTGTATAACACTATGTGTGGAGTCATACATGTATATATGTTAATTTATGCCTATTTATGACTAATGTTTTTAGTTACAGAAAAAAAAGAGATTTAATAAATAAAGTTATGTGTTATGCAGTAATTTAGTTTGTGATAATAAATGATGTGGCCTGTTTCATCCATACTAAGTGGTCTGTCGTTATTGGGGGGTTGAATGGGGTTAGTTTATGTTCTAGGCTGCATCGCGATTCCCCATTACGTAAATACATGAAGTCAGTACATAGGTGTGACAGATCTTCATGTCCCTGGATTATACAGCTTTTTGTTCTCTTCGTCTGTTTGTTTGGTAAACTGTATTCACCTCGTATGTTAACCCCTTAAGGACCAAACTTCTGGAATAAAAGGGAATCATGACATGTCACACATGTCATGTGTCCTTAAGGGGTTAATATTGCTCTGTTCGAATAACGAATAAATCACCGAATGACAGACCATCCATATGCAGAGTGTGCTGCTTGTTGACCCCATTAACCTCTGCTAACACCTCTGTAACCACAATAACACCAACGTACTAAGTGGTCGGCTGGGTGGTTGCCGTTCACCTGTGCGAACACGTGGTGGCAGCCATCATTGGCCGCGAACACAGACAGCGGTGTTTGGTCGTCGAATGTATGGAACTAAAATCGGACACTAGATGGCGAACACCGCTGATATTTCCACCTCCAGCTATGTTTGGTTGGATTCATACGAATGAAATGGCGTTCGGTGGGAGCATACTCCCGAACCAGATACACTGTGTGAGCATTAACTGTTTATCCATACATATTGTAGTATTTGGTACTCCCAAAAGAGACTGATCGCACAGCCTGATTTCATGGAACTATCTGGAGGGCCAGAGTTTGGAGAAGCCTGGTCTAAACTATACCCCGGTGGCGTTTCAGCTGCATTTGTGGGATCTGGATATGTTGGGCACTCAGATCCAGGAGCTCTACTCACACTGGGGGGAAAAGAACATCTCTGGCGGCGAGACCCCTCTTCCCATCGGGGTGGCCGCCACAAGGGGACTTTGGAAGACAGGCTCCTGTGGTATGGGAGCTCAGTCAATGAATATTCAGCTATGTGACCTACATTACTAAACAAACGGGCAAACAGGCCAATGTTGCGTCATTGTGAAGCAAGTCATCAACTTCTGACCAAAGGAAGCCATCTCATCAAGTTCAAATTGTGGTTTTATAAGTTGCAGAGTGTGGGGCAGGGGAGGAGGGTGGTGTCTAAGTGTGAGAGTTGCCAAGGGGGGGGTCTCAGTTCAAGTGTTGCCAAGCGGGGATCTCAGTTTGAGAGTTGCCAATGAGGGGGTAACTCTCAAACTGTGAATTGCCAAGGAGGGGTCTCAACTTAAGAGTTGCCAGGCAGGTTCTCATTTTGCATAAAAAGGGTCATACCATGTAGAACAATTTCACTAGCAAGCTGGAGGAAACACTTGAAAGGGGAAAACTTTTTTACAAACAGCGAAGCAGATAAACAAGGTAAACATGACACAAAAAACAAAAGTAATACCAAATAGAAAAAACACTTATAAAGAGCATTGAGGCCAAACAACCTGAACAATTAGATAAATAAAGCTAGAAGCCCAATGGTAGCATAAAGACTGGTAACCCTAACCCTCTATTTGGATCCAATGATAGTTAGACACGTGGACAGCATCTGTATCTCACCAAATGAAGCTTTGTGCAGATCATCCAAGAGGAAAAGATGTCTAAGTCGACTCCCATGGATAATGCTTCTTGGTCTTACTGCAGTGGCATTTTCATGGTGAGTATTAAGGTGTTGGCGTAGATGACCAGGACGCAATAGGGAGTTAATAGGAATCCTGTGGAATAATGCTCCATGGAAGGTCACTGTCTGTGCAAGGCTCGTCTTTCCACAGCCAGGAGGTCCAACTAGCAGAACCGGGAGGCCAGAGCAGACCAGAGATCTTGCAGCAACCATGATGCTCTCAAACTGCAAAATAAAGACACATGCAGGGAAAATGTATAATGAATCACTATAATGACCATTGTAGTTTGCAAAGGGCAGGTTTGACCACTTTACTACACCAACCACCTGAAAAGAATACACTTTTTGGAATGTTTGCTAACTTATCTCTTTTTTTTTATGAATCTTCTCTACTTCAGAGGTAGCCAAGTGGTACCCTCAGCTGTTGAAGAACTACAACTTACATGATGGTTTGTCGGCCTTAGTAACTGCAACTAGACTAATGAACAGAGAAAAAACATTTGTCCCAGCCAAATCACCTAACCAAAAAAATAATAATTTGCTTCGGTAGTCCGATAGTTGTCTATCTAGCAGCTTGGCTCATCTGAATATCGTCAATTCGGATGGACTATAAGGTTGCCAAATGGGCCAATCAGTGCACTGTTAAATATATTACATAGAGAGTCGCATTCACCCACTGTAACGAACCCTGAAGTGGTAGCTAGTGGTTCGTATGATTTTCAGTTCTTTTATTCGTCAGTTAAATCCCAAAGACACAAAATCCTCTAGTGCAGTTTTCCCAAATAGCAATCAGATACCCAAACACAGGGGCGGACTGACAGGTCGGGCAGATCGGTCATGGACCGAGGGCCCGAGTCAGTCAGGGGGCCCGGCAGCACAGTCATGCTTCTGCTGTGGAGATCAGATCAGAGATCTCCACAGCAGAAGTAAGAAAGCGCTGTAAGAAGGTTGCAGGGGCCCATAATGACTCTAAGGGCCCCTGCAACCCATCAGTCTGCAAATACCCCTCCCCATTCAGTGAGAGACCTGGCAGCACACCTCTCACTGCCAGGTCTCCTCTCTCTCTCCCCCTGCTCCCTGCTCCGTGCTCAGTGCTCCGTGTGAGGATGGGAGGCGGGGCAGGAAGTGACATCACCACCTGCTTCCCTCTCACACGGAGCACACATACAGCGTGGATGATAGTATACTGAATATACTATCAAGTTTTCGTATTTTTGGTGAGATCCATCCATATATTTATGGATTATATGAATTATATAGTGCACTATATCTGGGACTATTAATAGGACTGGAATATATACATTTTTTCTTTTGCTTTTCCTTTTTTTTTTCTTTTTTTTCTTTTTTCCATTTTTTCCATTTTTTCTTTTTCTGTTTTTTTCATCATTCAGTATTTTTCTCTGGACATTTCATTTTTTCAGTTTTTGGATCAGTAACCAGTGTATATAGATATATAACTTATGAAATTCAGCACAGGGAGGTTTTTGTGTGTATATATGTAAATAATCTATGTGTATATATGATTGGAATGAATTTCACTAAGATTTACTTGATTAACTTATGAATTACTATTATAATAAATATTTTTGCAATTCAGTACAAGTTTAGACTTCACTACAACAATTTTTTTGAGTGCGGTATTCATATTTGTTTTTTGAAGGGTGAGAAGGAGCCTGTCTGCCCCACTGCTGCTGGAGGAAGAAAAACATCACATTGTACAGATAAGCAGGCCCATACACACACTGCCCCCACACACATACACTGTCCCCCACCCATATACATACACTGCCCACCCATATACACACACTGCCCACCTATATACATACACTGCCCACCTAAATACACACACTGCCCACCTATATACACACACTGCCCACCTATATACATACACTGCCCACCCATATACACACACTGCCCACCCATGTACATACACTGCCCACCCATATACACACACCGCCCACCCATATATATACACTGCCCACCTATATACATACACTGCCCACCCATATACATACATTGCCCACCCATATACACACACTGCCCACCCATATACACACACTGCCCACCCATATACATATACACTGCCCACCCATATACACACACTGCCCACCCCATACACTACCCACATATACACTGCCCACCCATATACACACACTGCCCACCTATATACATACACTGCCCACCCATATACATACACTACCCACCTGTATATATACACTGCCCACCCATATACATACACTACCCACCTATATATATACACTGCCCACCCATATACACACACTGCCCACCCATATATATATACACTGCCCACCTATATACATACACTGCCCACCCATATACATACACTACCCACCTATATACATACACTGCCCACCCATATATACACACTGCCCACCCATATACATACACTGCCCACCATATACACACACACTGCCCACCCATATACACACACTGCCCACCCATATACATACACTGCCCACCCATATACACACACTGCCCACCCATATATATATACACATATGCACACACACACACTGCCCCACACACACTGCCCACCCATATATACACATACACTGCATACACTGCCCACACACACACACACACACACACTGCATACACTGCCCACCCATATATATACACACACACTGCCCACCCATATATTCACACACTGCCCACCCATATATCACACACTGCCCACCCATATATTCACATACTGCCCACCCATATATACACACACACTGCATACACTGCCCACACATATATACACACACACACATTGCCCCACACATACATACACTGCCCCCCATACACACACTGCCCCCACACACACCGTACACATACACACACACTGCCCCCACACTTACACTGCCCCCACACACACACCATGCACATACATACATTGCCCCCACACACTGCCCTCCCCATACACACATTGCCCCGACACACATACACTGCCCTGACACCATACACATTCACACACTGCCCCCCATACACATACACTGCCAACACACACACATACACAGCCCCACATACACACACACATTGCCCCACACACCCTACACATTCACTCACTACACCCCCCACACACACACACTGAACCTTTCACACACACTGCACCACTCACACACACCATTGCCCCTATGCCCTACTACAGCCTCATATCATAGCAGACCCCAGGTAAGTTGTCAAACTGTTCTCAAACTGTTTGACTACTTACTTTAAAATTATTTTTAACATTTACTTAGTCCTTAAAGGACCACTATAGGCACCCAGACCACTTCAGCTCAATGAAGTGGTCTGGGTGCCAGGTCCCTCTAGTTTTAACCCTGCAGCTGAAAACAAAGCAGTTTCAGAGAAACTGCTATGTTTCACTAAGGGTTAATCCAGCTTCTGTGGCTGTCTCACTGACAGCTGCTAGAGGTGCTTCCGCGATTCATACTGTGAATGCGTGCGCTGAATTCGAGAATGCGAGAATTCCCCAGAGCCGAGGGAGCCCGGCGCAGGAGAAAGGTAAGTGGTTGAACGGGTTTTAACCCCTTCAGCCCAGCGGGAGGGGGGCACTATAGTGCTCCTTTAATATTTTGTCTTGAAGGGCCCTGGATCTAATTTTGTCCGGGGGCCCAGGAGGCTGTCAGTCCATCCCTGCCCAAACACCAGCCGAAACATGAAGGGTGTAACAAGAATGGTGTTTATTGAGACCACACAGGCTTTTATGGAGGTCCCCCTGCAATAGGACCTCCCACAGTACACAAGCACAATAGAAAATCACATTGTACAGCTAAAATAAAACACTCCCTCTCTCTGCCTGGGAGATAATGAGATAAGTTAAGGAATAACCCAATTATCTCCAGGCAAAGCGGACACATTTTCCCCAAAACCCAGAACACCCCTTTAACTTTAGGGTATCCCCAAAAATAACATATCCCCTGATAGCCCCGATCTGGGAGACCAACATATTCAAATTTCACCCAGATTGGTGAAAGTGTGGAAGTCTTAAGTCACCGACCGCACACAAGGCTCCTGCCCAAAATAGTTCCACAAATTCAGTGTATGCGGTCGGTCAATTTTAAAAATGTCAAATAAACGAATTAATCCACGAGTAGAGCCTCCTTGTTCGTGGGAACCAAACTACCGAATGGCGCTACCCTAGCTGTTCGGCAACAAAAGGAAGCAGGCGTTCGTATATTTTCAGCAGTGTTCGGGAAGTCGAGTGTCCGATTTTAGTTCCACAGACACTCGACGACCAAGTCCCGCTGCCTCCTTTTGTGCAAACAAGATGGCCGCCGTTTTCGCTGCCATGTGGCGTTCGGCTTTACGAATGGCGGCCACCCCGAGAGAGTGCTTAATTGACGGTTCCTCTTTGAAGTTAATGAGCCAGGAGGGTGGTCGGTGTTCGGTAGTTTTAATCTACCGAACCAATATTGCTTAAAATAAATGAATGAGGTAAAAATAAACGAATGTCCAGAGAAAACCACGAAATCCCTGCTGGTTTTCTCACACGCACCATTTGGTTCACAGATAAAGTTAGAAAAAGAGGGAAAAACAGGAAGAGCAGAAAAAATAAAAATATTTGTATATGTTTATGTATATTCCTTATTTATTAAATAGATAATATATAAATAGAGCTTCTTCTGTTATTCTCTCTATTGGTTACTTCTCACTTGACTTCATCAATCATAGACAGAAATCCAAATTAGAGATGAAACCAACATGCGTGTCCATTGCTCAGAGTCACTTGTTCAGTTATATGTTTATATGGCACTTCATAGTTACTGAAATTGAATGAACAGCCAATTGGCTGAAATTTGGATGTATTGGAATTAATACTAAATGTCAAACTGTCACAGTTGCTGGGGCTACCATTGGCCACTTTAACCTACTTAAAATAAGTGAAATGTAATAGTCATAGCCACTTTAAGATAAGCATATTGACTTTACATACAGAACAAAAAAAAAAAAATTAAAAAAAATTAAATAAGAGGTGGGAAATTTGTAGCTGTCCCTCGTTAACTCGGCTGGTTACCTCCACTATTAATAAAAAGACCCATTTCCCCCCAGAAACAGTTCCAGAGGTATAACAACTTTATTGCTCGCACTTGGCTTTATATTTTTCCCCATGCAAGGGGTGGATCACACATAAAGACAATGTCCCCTCCCTGAGTCCTCCCAGGGGTCGTATAATGGACTTGGAACCCCAGTCCCTTTGCCCCCTGTTCCCACCACCCATCCTCAGGGCTTCCCACCTCTAGTGACAAGGGGTCTTCATCCCATGAGCCTCTGTACCTGGGAGCCCCAGCACGGGAAAACTCCCAGCTACAGAAAGCACGCCCCAAAGAGTGTCCCCACCAATCTCAGGGACCCCCAAAACAGTCACTGCCACAAACAGCCTCTGTTCACAGGGTCCCTGGGTGAAACCAGGCAAGGGAAGCGTCTCTATTCGGGACACGAATGCTCCCCCTTGCAGACGCCCATCTGTAGGAACGGCAGCCACCCAGGGAAGCACTCATTAATTACTTCCCTTGCGGTTTCACACTTATGTTGCGAGTTTACAATGTTCTAATTGATTGGTGCGAACACTCCAAAGGGCACTGGGGAGGTCCTCGTTCGAGAACCGAATGATGTGGGAAGCAATCCACAAATGCTCCTCCTGGATGGTGTTCATCTAACAAACAGGATGCCACACAGGGAGGCACGCGCTGAGGCTTCCCTTGTAGTTTGCGGTTTTGACACCTCGTTACGAGGTGCGACCGTTCTAAAACAACATTCTAAATGAGGGATCGAGGTGGTCCCTGTTCGGGAGGTGAATGGATTAATTTGGTGGCGGCCTCCCGAACAGGGAGCAGGCAGTATAGATGAACACAGAGTAAACTACAGGTGCACGATAGGGAAAATACACAAAAGGGAGGGAGACCCCTGCCAAGACAGTACATACACAACAGGGAAACCAGGGGAATTAACAGTTTAGCAGCAGTCTCTTTACACAATTGTTACTCAAAAATATACTATAATATAATTTCAGGATAGCATCACAGCATAAAGCCTGCTTACCTGTTACCATTATCTAAACACTACGTGGGTTGATGGAACATGTTCTACATGTCACATTCTAAACACTGTGTGGGTGATGGAATATGTCCTACATGCTAGGTTCTAAATACTGTGTGGGTGATGGAACATGTCCTACACGTGTCAGGTTCTAAACCATGGGTGGGTGATGGAACATTTCCTACACATGCCAGGTTCTAAATACTGTGTGAGTGATGGAATATGTCCTACATGTCTGTGACGATACAGCCTAATATATCGTCCGTGGGTATTCTTTTTACATAACTTGCACCACTAAACTGCTCCACTAAATGCTATGACTCCTCTTTGGTAGCATACACAGGTTATATTGAGCTGGTATCTTGTTACTATATGATATTCTATCCATCCAGTCGTCTTATTAGTAATTACTCTATAGAGGACAATGAATAGCCATATCTTGTTAGACCTCAAGGAAGAGACAACCCCGGCAACTCCTTAGAACTCAGACTCACTCTGCCTCCATTTATTGTATCCAGTTCCAGCTTACAAAGATCACAGCATACAGTAAAATAAACATTACACAAAACTTCCACCAATAGGAATACAGAACAGGTCACAGGAAAAGAACTACAAAGCTACAAAATGATTCCTTACACTAGTTACCACCTCCCCCTGTGCCAATACACCATGATAACAAAAGGTTATCTTGATTGGATCCACTGCCCTTTGCTGAAGAAGATAGACTTGCTGGCTCCCACAGCAGGTGGTCACTCACAGTGCAGCATTTAACTTGATTAGCCCACAATATACGTTTCACACCTACCTATACTTTATGCCTGAATAGAGAGCTGCCCTCTGTTGACCCACAGCTGCATATATAGACACATACTGAACTCTGTATAATACAGGTACACAATACACAGATGCATGTAATACAGAGATACTTAGATACATAGAAAACAGTCACAAAAATGGTGCCACAAGCTTGTGGCTTGCACCAAACAAATCAGGACATCCATCACAATGTTACATTCTAAACACTGTGTGGGTGATGGAATATGCCATACATGTCACATTCTAAACACTGTGTGGATCATGGAACATGTCCTACATGTCACATTCAAAACACTGGGTGGGTGATGGAACATGTCCACACGTGTCACATTCTAAAAACTGTGTGGTTGATGGAATATGTCCTACATGTCACATTCTAAAAACTGTGTGGTTGATAGAATATGTCCTACATGTCACATTCTAAAAACTGTGTGGTTGATGGAATATGTCCTACACGTGTCAGGTTCTAAACACTGTGGGTAATGGAGTATGTCCTACATGTTACATTGTAAACACTGTGGGTGATGGAACATATCCTACATATGTCACTTTTTAAATGTTGTGTGGATGAAGGAATATGTCCCAAATCTAAAACTATAATTAATAGTTCACAAAACTCATTACCTGTGGTATAATAAGGTTGCTTCTGATCGATTCCATCAGAGTTGGTGGTGAAGGACAGGGAACAAGAACTCCTGCTTCAGGATTCAGAGAAATATCAAATATAGACACGTTTAGGGGAATATCAACTTGTAAAAGACAATCTGAAAGTATCCCACGCAAAAAGATTTCAAACTGAGGACGATGCCTACAATAAAAACAATAGGTTGAGCAGTCAGTTGAATGGAGGAGATACATTTATTGGCAGAGGAAAAAAAAACACCATAAGAAGAGAAGAACCATTGATTGGTGGAGGAGAAGGCTATTTGGTTGTCGAGAAGAAGCAAGATCATGAATGGATGTGGATAAAGAAGGCCCATGTTGATTGGAGAATAAAAAGCCAGAATGGAGGAAGCAAAAGGTGGGCAGGAAAAAGTGGGCCATGAGCAGATAGGAAAAATAAGACCATGCTTTGGTATGGAAAATTAAGGTTATAGATGAGTGTGTGAAAGAGGATCATGGATCGGTAGGTGAAGGCTTGCAACACTGGAGTTCATGCAAGCAGAATTATGGAGAAATTATTTCTAGGATTTGTTTAGGTATTTCAAGGGGTTTGCATTGAGTTTAAAAGAGAACATATGTTGAAAGTCTAGGTTCTAGAGACTATCTATAGAGTCCACAGTTCTATAGTTGACAGCACAGTTCTATGGTTGCTCCTGCCCAAATGTGTAATTCGTTCTCCTTATTATTGTGAAGTTATATTAAGTGTTGCTTGGATTATAGTTTTATTTTTTATACGGTTTGATTGTGGACATGACATGAGTTGTTTCATAGTTAGTTTGTCATACTATTGGTGGATGGTCATGAGAGTATGATACTTACTTAGGGTCAAGGTGTCCCGCAAAGCCCCAGATGAAGGAGTAGACAAAGCAGGATAGTGCCAAATGGTGATTGAGAGGTGAAATATATTGGTCAAACGAGGAGAGGTCTAAAACTTCTCCAACCGGTTTGTTAGTATGATCTGTAAAATTTAGAAAAACTGATTAAATGTGATCAATAAATACAGTTTATCTTATCAACTAATTACAGTGTAAACTCACCAGCTTCTGTGGGTGCGTCTGTGGGTGCTTTTGTGGGTGCATGGTCTCTTGGGTCCTCTCTGTGGTCTCCCAGTACCTGTGTTTCTCCAGAGAGATCCTGTGCTTTTTCCTGTGGTTGAAATGTTTTACTTGACACATGATCCTGTAGTAGATATTGATCCAACAAAGCTTGAAGGATATTACAGAAAGAGGAGACTTCTTGTACCCCTTGCATTGAGTATGCAGACTGTGCAGTATGAGGGTATAGAGCAGAGGTGCAGGATGACTCCAGAAATACAAGTGTGCTGGGTACCAAGCTGTCACTTAGACTTTGAAGTAGATTAAGTGTATTCAAGGTTAATCTGTATTTCAAGTACAGCTTGGATTTGAAAGCTGCTAAAATTGCCCTCCAAGTGTTCTCCCCCCCACAGTGTACAAAGCTACAGAGTGTGGACATAGCAGGAGTAATGTTGGATGTGTCTGCCATCTCAAACAAAATCTTGATAGACTCAGGAAGCTGAAGATGCTCACCATTAGACAATGTCAATGCTGGATAAGATCCAAAAAGAAAAGAAATTGGTTCTGCCCAATGTGGGCTGGATGACCCATCTAGTACTAACCACTTTTGGGCTCTATGGTCCTGAGGAACTCTGCTTAGGATAGATGAGAAGATGCCTTGTCTCCAGCTTCTATCGTGCATCTCTCCATACAGTTCATTAATTGTAAAGCTATTGGGGAACAAATGTTCAGTTTGCACAGTTTGGTGACTGCATGAGAAGTTTTTCTCTTCTGTGGCTCCTGGCTGCTCTACACAGCTTGCAAGGTGGCTCAGAGCATGTGACAGAATTCTCCAACATGTAGTTTTCCCACTGCCAGGACAGCCAGTAAGCAGGACTCCAGTGCTGTGCTGAAGAGCATTAAAAAGCTGCTGAGCACTACAATCGAGACCTGCATGAGCTTCAAGTCCAGACTCCTGCAAGACCAGCTTTATGGCACAGAGGAGCGTGTCCCCAAAATGCTCATTACAAGGCTCCATGGGGGGACATATTGGGAAGATACTTTGGAGGATTCCCCTCAGATAATTTATCTCAGCAGTTGAAAGACCAGACCAGAATGGTGAGGCATTAATTGCTTTGATTAAACTGGATTCCTCCTGTGAGTCAGGAGTGCGACTTTGAGTAAAATGTTGTTCAGTATGAGCTTGTGGGGTTGTTATGGATGCTATCCCTCCATTAAGCTGCATGCTGTCACCATTATTAGTCCTTTCAGATGCGTCAGTAGCTCTCATAAAGGAAGCAGCCAAGTGGATTGCACGGTTTACTAGAAGGCAACAGCTGATTGGTGATACAAGCCCTGAGTCCTGCACAAGTTGGAAAAAGCAGGAGATCTTCCTGGCCAAGCACACTGTCTTCTGGAAGCCAGCTGTGAGCAAAGCTAGTTTAGCAGTAAAGCGTAGGTCTGGTGTAAGTAAGGACACAGGCCTCAGAACGAGGCATAGGTTGGATGGGAGCTCACTGGAAGAATTAAGGTTAGGGAGAGTCATGAAACAGCCATAACTTCGCCCCACAGAAACTGTTCTTCCCTCAAACTGGATGTGGCCAATCACTTTGGGTAGAAACTGTTCATTCAAAGGGCTCAACCCTGAGCTTATACCCCCAGGAAACTTCAGAAGATAACAGGAGGATTGAATTTGGCAAAGAAGCTGTCCCAGTAATGACTGAACATCTCTTTTCAGTCTGTGTGCACCATCCAGAATTAGCCATGCGTTTCCCTGCAGTGCGCCGTGCAGGTGCTGACTCAACCTGCCCAGATCTATTCCACCCCAGCATTTTAGGATAACAATATGGCGTCCCAAGGCTTTGCCAAGAGCGACTACTGTGTGAATCCTGCTCTCCTCATCTTGGCCAATAACAGTACCACACTGGTATTGCTTCAATGCCAGAATCAGACCCAATGTGGATCTGTCAGAGAATGTACCATAAATAGTGCCACTCTCTAGCCCAATATACTCATATTCATATGGAAACTGAAACCTAAGGATTTCCACAAAATAAACAAGGGGAGTCAATCCTCCTGCTGATATATCACCTAGGCATTTAACATTTGCAGTCACTTGGCTGGGCAATTTGTTCTCTCTGCATTCAGGTTCTGCAAGGGCTCTATATTTTATCATCTTGGCCCATGAAAAACTTTCAAGTGGGTCAATTTTGCCTTTCAGCAAAGTGTTGATGCGGTCTCTCTGCTGAGAACAGAGCATGATCCAGCTAGAGAGGACAGCTTGTCTCTGACAAAGGGCTTCTTTAGGGAGACCGAGTGCTCTATAAGAATCTCGCAGCACCTGTACGAGGATCTCAAGTTTCTTGTTGTATCTCTCTCTTAGCAACGCTCCCTGATGGCTGAATATATGGGCTTCTACCTGTTCACACCAAAGTACCTCTTGGCTTACTGCCAGGCACTGCCAGGGATAGATAGTCAAATGTTCAGACCACTGCTTTGATAAATCAGAATTTTTGAGATTGAGGAATTCCACTTTCCGATACTCACTTAAACAAAGTTCCAGTTGACTTCTAACACTTTCCCTCAATTCCTGGTCTAGCATTGATAGCCATGAAGTATTACTTAGACTTCCACAGATTGGGAATCTTAAATTCAGTCTCTCACCACAGTTCCCTTCTATCCCGGTGGCTAGTATATGACTATTGTCCATGGCCGTCTCATATATTTGGGTGGTCTGAGCTTGATAGAGCACATTTCTGAGGCTGGGGAAGCAGATCAAGGCACACTGAGTGAGAGCTCTAGGTTCTGCAGGTGCTGACAGAACGCTCAGAAGATCCTTGTCACCCAGAAAGAAAAATCGATAGAAAAGAGATCGTGAAGAGTCCAGCACATACTTCACTTCTCCCAATGTCTCTTCCATCACACTGATACCTTTGTGGAAATCAAAACCAAGATCTGTTTTACGAAGGTTCTGTTCATGTCTCCTACAGGTGTGACCGAGAAAGGACATGACTCGCGGATCTTGGACAATCTTGTTCAGAAAGGAACGGTAATCTTGATCAACCATCTGGAACTGCGTCATCTGTAGGGCAAAATAAAGAAACCAATAATAAACCATTCCTGTACATTGTATGACCTAATTAACTAATAGAACCCCAAATCCTATCACTTGATATTCTATAAGCTATGAATGGATCACGTGTAACCTGATAAAAGGCACTAGAAATCTTACTGAAGTCTTGTTTGTTATTTGGTGTTGTATAACCCATTACTGGATCTTCATAAAATCTGTTTCCATGCCTAATATAAACAGTGCCTCACACAGCTTATTTTATGTCTCATATAGCGTGCAGTCTGACCTACCGTTATGAAGTAAAGAACATACCTTGTTATCTGAAAATAGCAGAGGGACTTCCATCTCATGTAGGACCTTCATAATAAAGACCCATTTCTCCTGGAACTGAATCCAGAGACCCAGATTGTAATCTAGGAGGGCAAGACAGTTAGTGTGACCGAGAGAAACAGTGTTAGAGACAGATACACACAGAGAGACCAAGACAGATCTAAAGGATATAGAGACAGTTCTGGTTAAAGAGAGATACAACCTGTGTGATACAGGGGAGCAGTAATAGACAGTGAATGATATGATAAATAGAAATGATGCTGTTTGTCAGTATTTTGTAAATAATGTAATATATTACACTTTTCCTTGACATCATGCCTGGATGTTTCATGACAACTACCTGCTGAAACAACTTTGCTTATAGCAAGATTATATTAACTGACCCCCCCTCCCCCCAAAAAAAAAAAAAACAATCCCAGCTAGCCAACATTGTCTGATCTAGCGGATATATGAAGCTATGTTTCACTAGTTAGTATATCCTGTTAGTGTTACTTTTATTATTGTTCAACTAACCAGGTATACAGTTTGTATATTGTTTAGACAGTCTAAAGTGCTCCCAGACAACCAAAGGGAATTCCCAGACAGCCAGGATAGCCAACTGGCAACAAAGAGACTGTGGCAAAACCGACCTCGCCATTACAGAGACTGCCAGGAAAGACACTGCCAGGAAAGCTCCCACACTGCCTGAACAACTCCCACACTGCCAGGAGAGCTCCAACTCTGCCAGGAGAGCTTCAACTTTGCCAAGAGCTCCCAACTCTGCCAAGTGAGCTCCAACTCTGTCAGGAGAGCACCCACTCTGCCAGGAGAGCACCTACTCTGCAAGGAGAGCACACACACTGCCAGGACAGGTCCCACTCTACCAGGAGAGCTCCCACTCTGCCAGGAAAGCTCTCAATCTGTCAGGAAAGCTCTCACTCTGCCAGCAAAGCTCCAACACTGCCAGGAAAGCTTCCACACTGCCAGGAGAGCTCCAACACTGCCAGGAGAGCTCCCATACTGCCAGGAAAGCTCCCACACTGCCAGGAAAGCTCCCACACTGCCAGGAGAGATCCCACACTGTCAGGACAGATCCCACACTGTCAGGACAGATCCCACACTGCCAGGACAGCTCCCACACTGCCAGGACAGCTCCCACACTGCCAGGAGAGCTCCCACAATGCCAGGACAGATCCCACACTGTCAGGACAGCTCCCACACTGCCAGGAGAGCTCCAACTCTGCCTGAACAGCTCTCACACTGCCAGGAAAGCTCCCACACTGCCAGGAGAGCACCCACTCTGCCAGTAGAGCACCCACACTGCCAGGACAGCTACCACTCTGCCAGGAGAGCTCCCACTCTGCCAGGAGAGCTCTCACTCTGCCAGGAGAGCTCTCACTCTGTCAGGAAAGCTCCCACACTGCCAGGACAGGTTCCACACTGCCAGGAGAGCTCCAACACTGCCAGGAGAGCTCCACACTGCCAGGAAAGCTCTCACACTGCCAAGAGAGCTCTCACACTGCAAGGAAAGCTCCCACACTGCCAGGAAAGCTCCCACACTGCCAAGGGAGCTCTCACTCTGCTAGGATATGTCCCACACTGCCAGGGCAGCTCCCACACTGCCTGGATACCTCTCACTCTGCCAGGAGAGCTCTCACTCTGCCAGGAGAGCACCCACACTGTCAGGACAGCTCCCACACTGTCAGGACAGCTCTCACGCTGCCAGGAAAGCTCCCACACTGCCAGGAGAGTTCCAACTCTGCCTGAACAGCTCTGACACTGCCAGGAAAGCTCCCACACTGCCCGGAGAGCTCCCACTCTGCCAGGAGAGCTCCCACACTGCCAGGAAAGCTCCCACACTGCCGGGAGAGCTCCAACACTGCCAGGAAAGCTCTCACACTACCAGGAAATCTCCCACACTGCCAGGAAAGCTCCCACTCTACCAGGAGAGCTCCCACACTGGCAGGAGAGCTCCCACACTGTCAGGACAGCTCCCACACTGCCAGGAAAGCTCCCACACTGCCAGGAAAGCTCCCACACTGCCATGACAGATCCCACACTGCCAAGACAGCTCCCACACTGCCAGGAGAGCTCCAACTCTGCCTGAACAGCTCTCACACTGCCAGGAAAGCTCCCACACTGCCAGGAGAGCACCCACTCTGCCAGGAGAGCACCCACACTGCCAGGACAGCTCCCACTCTGCCAGGAGAGCTCCCACACTGTCAGGACAGCTCCCACACTGCCAGGACAGCTCCCACACTGCCAGGAGAGCTCCAACTCTACCTGAACAGCTCTCACACTGCCAGGAAAGCTCCCACACTGCCAGGAGAGCTCCCACTCTGCCAGGAGAGCTCCCACACTGCCAGGAAAGCTCCCACACTGCCGGGAGAGCTCCAACACTGCCAGGAGAGCTCCACACTACCAGGAAAGCTCTCACACTACCAGGAAATCTCCCACACTGTGGAGAGCTCCCACACTGTCAGGACAGCTCCCACACTGCCAGGAAAGCTCCCACACTGCCAGGAGAGCTACCACACTGCCAGGACAGCTACCACTCTGCCAGGAGAGCTCCCACTCTGCCAGGAGAGCTCTCACTCTGCCAGGAGAGCTCTCACTCTGTCAGGAAAGCTCCCACACTGCCAGGACAGGTTCCACACTGCCAGGAGAGCTCCAACACTGCCAGGAGAGCTCCACACTGCCAGGAAAGCTCTCACACTGCCAAGAGAGCTCTCACACTGCAAGGAAAGCTCCCACACTGCCAGGAAAGCTCCCACACTGCCAAGGGAGCTCTCACTCTGCTAGGATATGTCCCACACTGCCAGGGCAGCTCCCACACTGCCTGGATACCTCTCACTCTGCCAGGAGAGCTCTCACTCTGCCAGGAGAGCACCCACACTGTCAGGACAGCTCCCACACTGTCAGGACAGCTCTCACGCTGCCAGGAAAGCTCCCACACTGCCAGGAGAGTTCCAACTCTGCCTGAACAGCTCTGACACTGCCAGGAAAGCTCCCACACTGCCCGGAGAGCTCCCACTCTGCCAGGAGAGCTCCCACACTGCCAGGAAAGCTCCCACACTGCCGGGAGAGCTCCAACACTGCCAGGAAAGCTCTCACACTACCAGGAAATCTCCCACACTGCCAGGAAAGCTCCCACTCTACCAGGAGAGCTCCCACACTGGCAGGAGAGCTCCCACACTGTCAGGACAGCTCCCACACTGCCAGGAAAGCTCCCACACTGCCAGGAAAGCTCCCACACTGCCATGACAGATCCCACACTGCCAAGACAGCTCCCACACTGCCAGGAGAGCTCCAACTCTGCCTGAACAGCTCTCACACTGCCAGGAAAGCTCCCACACTGCCAGGAGAGCACCCACTCTGCCAGGAGAGCACCCACACTGCCAGGACAGCTCCCACTCTGCCAGGAGAGCTCCCACACTGTCAGGACAGCTCCCACACTGCCAGGACAGCTCCCACACTGCCAGGAGAGTTCCAACTCTACCTGAACAGCTCTCACACTGCCAGGAAAGCTCCCACACTGCCAGGAGAGCTCCCACTCTGCCAGGAGAGCTCCCACACTGCCAGGAAAGCTCCCACACTGCCGGGAGAGCTCCAACACTGCCAGGAGAGCTCCACACTACCAGGAAAGCTCTCACACTACCAGGAAATCTCCCACACTGTGGAGAGCTCCCACACTGTCAGGACAGCTCCCACACTGCCAGGAAAGCTCCCACACTGCCAGGAGAGCTACCACACTGCCAGGAGAGCTCCCACACTGCCTGGAGAGCTGCCACACTGCCAGGAAAGCTCCCACACTGCCAAGACAGATCCCACACTGCCGAGACAGCTCCCACACTGCCAGGAGAGCTCCAACTCTGCCTGAACAGCTCTCACACTGCCAGGAAAGCTCCAACTCTGTCTGGACAGCTCCAACACTGCCAGGAGAGCTCCACACTGCCAGAAAAGCTCTCACACTACCAGGACAGCTGCCACACTGCCAGGAGAGTTCCAACTCTGCCTGAACAGCTCTCACACTGCCAGGAAAGCTCCCACACTGCCAGGAGAGCTCCAACTCTGCCTGAACAGCTCTCACACTGCCAGGAAAGTTCCCACTCTGCCAGGAGAGCTCCCACACTGGCAGGAGAGCTCCCACACTGTCAGGACAGCTCCCACACTGCCAGGACAGCTCCCACACTGCCAGGACAGCTCCAACTCTGTCTGGACAGCTCTCACACTGCCAGGAAAGCTCCCACACTGCCAGGAGAGCTCCAACTCTGCCTGAACAGCTCTCACACTGCCAGGAAAGTTCCCACTCTGCCAGGAGAGCTCCCACACTGCCAGGAAAGCTCCCACACTGCCAGGAGAGCTGCCACACTGCCAGGAAAGCTCCCACACTGCCAAGACAGATCCCACACTGCCAAGACAGCTCCCACACTGCCAGGAGAGCTCCAACTCTGCCTGAACAGCTCTCACACTGCCAGGAAAGCTCTCACACTGCCCGGAGAGCTCCCACTCTGCCAGGAGAGCTCCCACTCTGCCAGGAGAGCTCCCACACTGCCGGCAGAGCTCCAACACTGCCAGGAGAGCTCCACACTGCCAGGAAAGCTCTCACACTACCAGGAAATCTCCCACACTGCCAGGAAAGCTCCCACTCTGCCAGGAGAGCTCCCACACTGGCAGGAGAGCTCCCACACTGGCAGGACAGCTCCAACTCTGTCTGGACAGCTCTCACACTGCCAGGAAAGCTCCCACACTGCCAGGAGAGCTCCAACTCTGCCTGAACAGCTCTCACACTGCCAGGAAAGTTCCCACTCTGCCAGGAGAGCTCCCACACTGCCAGGAAAGCTCCCACACTGCCAGGAGAGCTGCCACACTGCCAGGAAAGCTCCCACACTGCCAAGACAGATCCCACACTGCCAAGACAGCTCCCACACTGCCAGGAGAGCTCCAACACTGCCAGGAGAGCTCCCACACTGCCAGGAGAGCTCCAACTCTGCCAGGAGAGCTCCCACACTGTCAGGACAGCTCCCACACTGCCAGGACAGCTCCCACACTGCCAGGACAGATCCCACACTGGCAGGACAGCTCCAACTCTGTCTGGACAGCTCTCACACTGCCAGGAAAGCTCCCACACTGCCAGGAGAGCTCCAACTCTGCCTGAACAGCTCTCACACTGCCAGGAAAGTTCCCACTCTGCCAGGAGAGTTCCCACACTGCCAGGAAAGCTCCCACACCGAGAAGCATCGCAAGTGAGGTTGAGCGGTTTCTCCCAATCACAGTGTATAAGCAAACTGTCAGAAGACAACAGTTTTTTAGCAGCGCTAAAAGCGGTAGTATGAACGTCAGCCCATTTCCATGGAGCATCTTTATCTAGTAGACGATGCAGAGGTTCAGCAACAGTGGCTTTATCAGGCAGAAGAGAATGGTAAAAATTAACCGGAGCTCTATGGATAGCTTCAACCTTAGAGTTGAGGTGAGTTCTCTTTGCTGGAGGAGGATTGTATCTCTTTTGAATGGACATAGGCAGCCTCATTTGCGAGTGCTTCCTCTTGTGCAATAATAAAAGTTAAATTCTGTCTTGCAAGCAGTCTCCTCTGCAGTGCTTCATCTTGCACTCCACACACAAGCCTGTCCCTTAACAAGGATTCTAAACTGGCACCAAAATTGCAATTTTCAGAGAGCCTGCGCAGTCCTGCAATGTATGCTGCAATGCTTTCACCTGGTTTCTGATTTCATCTATTGAAATGGAAACGCCTCACTGTTTCAGATGGGGTGGGTGCTAAATGATGTTTTAACAGTGCCAGTATTTCTTCAAATGGGCAGTCTTGTGGTTTAGCAGGAGATATCAGTGAGCGGACAGTATCAAACGTCTTGAATCCAATAACACTCAGTAACACGGCTCTCTTCTGAATAGCATCCACCACCTTATTAGCTTCCAGGAAAAACACTAACCGCTCAGCATATGGGTCCCATGAGGCTGGATTAGCCAGATCAAATTCCTCCATGTGTCCCAGAGATGCCATGCTGGAGATATTTGTAGATAATAGAATTCCAAAAGGAAAGTGTTACTTCCTCACTCAGGGTGATTTTATTTCCTTTATATATATTCTGAAGTGTCCATTTACTGACATCCCATCCTCGTCACCAGTTTAGTGTATTAGCATGTTATATATTCACAAAATGGCTCTCAGACATTGTAGTAAAATAGAACTTCTCTTTACTTCAGTACACACACACAATGACATAACACACAGACACACACAATGACATATCTCACACACACACAATAACACACACACACAATAACACACACACACATAATGACATAACACACACACACACACAATGACATAACACAAGAGAGACTAACAACAGAACAAGTGCATAACTTCACTGTGCTGACATCTACTGGAAGGTGGACTGCATAACACCCCAATACATAACAGAGATATTGAGGAACAGTTACCAAGATCCTCCAGTTTTTGTATCCAATCTTGTATATCGTCCTGCATTTCACAGGAGAGAGGGAACACCTTCATCATGCGGAGTGACAGCAGACTGTCATCAAGGAAACTGCACAGAGACTGAATATCTGAAACAAGGACAAATGTAAGCATATTAAATAATAGGCTGTGAGAAGGGACATTGTGAGTGTGAAAATGTGTGCTTTAATTGGCAACAATCGGTGTGAGTGAATGGCAGTGCAATGCGTGTATACGGAGAGATGGGGAATCTGTGTGTGTGAATGGCTGTGCAATGTGTGTGTTACAAGGACTCTATATACCATTACAACATAACCTTCTTTTGATTAAAACCCCTATTATGTCAGCATTCAGACCATACGAACGCATTTCACGAACTATTAGAAAGACCTATTCGTCTGTACGAACGATGGACCACCCAGTCCTTGGCGTGTGCCGCCACTTAACGTCGTCACCTCTAAAAGTACCGAATGACCGACCACCCTACGGGTGGAGTGTGCCGCTCATTAACCGCACAATGCGCTGCAGTCTGCGGTTAACCACCAACTAATGGACGGTCCCAGAGTACCCACGTTCGTATGTAATTCCCCGAAGGGAAACTGCCAAAAGCCTCACGAACAAGGACCACCTGCATTCTGGCATGTGGCATCAATTAGAACGCGGCTCTTGCGGTTAACCGCCATTCGTCTCCCGAATGGCAAGGACAACCAGACTGGAGCGGGGATTTGTGCACCTCTGTAGCTGACCCCCGCTCCATGAGTATTAGGTCGAGGTCCCGCTGTCCATTGACCGGCCTCAAAACATGGCCGCCATCAGGGGTGATCCACCAAAGTGCCAGAAACCCCCCGTTCTGTTCATGGGATCTGGGCGCATTTCGTATACTTGATGCGCCCAGATCTGAACTGCCGAATGAATAGTGGAATGAACTATATTCCCCCTGAAATGTCAAAGTTATGTATTTTTATGCTGTTTTCTAGGACACAATAAAGTATGGTCTTTTGGGCACTTGGAGATAATTAGATTGTATAAACTATTGGCCTCATTATCTCCAAGCTGGGCGGGTACTAGTTTGAATGATACATTGTATTATGATTGGTTGAATCCTTGTACTGTACCTGTATCCCATCAGGTCCATGGGGGGCTGTCCCTGGACCTGGGGACTTGCATAAATTGCCATGCTTGTGTGCCAGTAAAGCCAGTTTGTTTTGAACTGGCAGCCTCGACTCGTGTTGTAGGGATCCGGGAATCCTAGATTTACTATAGCTAGTGGGATATTCTACACTTACAGGTTTCTACTGATTGAAGCACCGTTCGACTCTCTGACTTCGGGAACCAGGACATCCAAGCGATCCAACCTCCTGCTAGACTGGAGGCAATCGTAATAGCGTGTATACGGAGAGATGGGGAATCTGTGTGAGTGAATGGCTGTGCAATGCGTGTATACGGAGAGATGGGGAATCTGTGTGTGTGAATGGCTGTGCAATGCGTGTATACGGAGAGATGGGGAATCTGTGTGTGTGAATGGCTGTGTATGCGTGTATACAGAGAGATGGGGAATCTGTGTGAGTGAATGACTGTGTGTGAAAGGATATGAAGTAGTTAACTTTTCTTGTTTTATCTTATGCTTAGATAAGGTTTATAATCATTAGTGCTGACTGTAAGGATATGAAAAAGTTAAACTCTTTTTGCTTTATATGCTTTAAAATAATGTTTGAAATAATTATGATGACTTTGGCAGATGTATTTTGTACCAAGGTCTTCCTTCTAGAGGATGTGTGACCTTGCTCGACCTCAGAATGTTCCTGTTCTGTCTTTATTCAAATGCTTATCTTCTACTGCCACAGAAGTATGTACTATTAACTAGGAGGAAGCGATAAATCTCGCTGCCTGCATGACAAACTGTGTATAAATGCTAGCCCTGAAAATACACTCATTTGAGAACTTGTTAGAGCATTCTTTCGTGTGTCATTATTTGCTAAACCACAACTCCCGTCAATTGATGTGGTGATCGGAGATTTGAGAACTGAGGGAGTTAAAGAGAAGTCGATTAACCCTTTCAGCTTGGGGTGCAGCAAAGCCATTGGGTAAGTAGCCTTTTTGTGTCTTATTGACGCTGATGGTCTATGACCCCCTTTGGTTCAGTAAGTCTGTATCCAGTAGATAGGAAAGGTGTAAGGACTTTAGTTATATTGAGACTGAAAATAGGTCTCCAGTTTATTAGACATTTGGTCTAAATATATAGGGTGTAACGGATCGCCTGGCACCCCGACTGGGTACCTCCGTTGAAGGATGCTCCTAGCGCTTCCCGAGGACTCCAAGCACTCTGGCAGACACCACAACCACCGAACCGCATATGAATGCTGTAGACCGTTGAATAGGAACCATACGAATAGGTTTACTCTCCTAGCAGTCAAACTGGAACAGCATACAATAAATCCTTCCCCCAATAATGAGACGACACTTCACTTTGAGGGTTAAAACAGGAACTCCCTGTACTGTCACATACAGTCTCTTTTATTCCCAATCCACAAACATAGTACAGCCCACAGGGTGTTACAAAACAGCCAATCAATCCATACAATACACCCAGACACTCCCACACAAAATCCTCCCCTCTGGCTGTGATATGATTACTGAACACAATGGGTAATCTAATTATCACAGCCAGAGAAATACAGTTTCATAAAACACATCACAGGGACCCCAAAACATGCAATAACCCCATAAAAAGTATATCCTTGGAACTGGGGGATCTGGGTGAACCACATATCCAAAATTCACCCAGATCCGTTCAGTACTTTGGAAAATACAGTTTAATGCAGATTCTGCAGAACATATACAGGCTAAATAAAAAACAATCACTGTATAATGTGTCCCCTGCTGTATAGTCCAAAACCACCGCACGATGTCTCTGTGCAACAAATACTGGTGAGATGGCACCGTGTTGAAAAGTCCACACAGTGTCTGTGAGTTAAAATGGCCGCCATCCATTGTTCTCACCATGTGCTTCTAATACAGGAAATGGTGGCCACCCAGTAACTCCACAGTATGTCCCCAGATGGTTCTTAAAAGGGCTAGCAGCAGCACAACACAAATCCATTATGCCCAAATCATGTCTTTAAAGGGCAATACATCCCAGGGGCCATAGTCACATGGCAGGAGGCTGGCAACCAGGCTTCTCCAGTGCATAGTGGCGAGGTTGGTTCCGCCACACTTCTCCCCTTTACCAATCAGACTAACAGGGTATCTGACCTCCTGCCGGTCAGTGCCCTTGTTAGTCCAGCAGCCCACCCACAAAACACAATCAGTAATACAGCCCACCCACAATAACTGGCTACTACACCTGGGTAGAGGAGAACTTTGTCCGTGTCCAGGTGCCTCACCATGGCTGTGTGGGTGACTGGTAAGCGTACTGGGTGGGTTGCTGAGTGGGCAGAGACCAGCGGTACTCTGTCCTGGAGCCAGCACTACCATGGGAGTAGTCTGGTTGGAGCCTGGTTGCTGGAGGGGGAGACAGACTGTCTCCCCTTTGCCTAAACAGTCCTGCTGCTGGGAGACAGGACCGACTGTCCCTACCCCCGGTGGTGCATGTGCAGAGACCACTGTCCCATCTGCACTGTTGTGGAGATTACTGTCTCCCCTTGGTGGGCTAAGCTGCCGCTGGGGAGAGGGGGTAACAAGCTCCTCTCCCATACATACTTTCAGCCGCTGGGGAGAGGGGATAACAAGCTCCTCTCCCTGACACACTCTCTGCTGTTGAAGGGGGAGACCGACTGTCTCCCCTTTCAATAATTTGTCCTGTTGCTGGGGAGAGGTGATAACTGGTTCCTCTCCCTGGAACACTCTCTGCTGTTGGAGAGGGGGACCAACTGTCTCCCCTTTTAATATATTGTCCTGCTGCTGGGGAGCGAGACCGACTGTCTCCGCTTCCTGCAGGACACACTGCCGCTGGGGAGGAAGTACGGCACCTTCAGCTCCCTGGGATACATACTGCCGCTGGGGAGGAAGGACGACACCTTCAGCTCCCTGGGATACACACTGCCGCTGGGGAGGAAGGGCGGCACCTTCTGCTCCCTGGGGTACACACTGCCGCTGGGGAGGAAGGACGACACCTTTGGCTCCCTGGGACTCACACTGCCGCTGGGGAGGAAGGACGGCACCTTCAGCTCCCTGGGGTACACACTGCCGCTGGGGAGGAAGGACGGCACCTTCAGCTCCCTGGGATACACACTGCCGCTGGGGAGGAAGGACAGCACCTTCTGCTCCCTGGGGTACACACTGCCGCTGGGGAGGAAGGACGACACCTTCAGCTCCCTGGGATACACACTGCCGCTGGGGAGGAAGGACGGCACCTTCAGCTCCCTGGGACACACACTGCTGCTGGGGAGGAAGGACGACACCTTTGGCTCCCTGGGGGACACACTGCCGCTGGGGAGGAAGGACAACACCTTCTGCTCCCTGGGGTACACACTGCCGCTGGGGAGGAAGGACGACACCTTTGGCTCCCTGGGACTCCTTTTTGGCCAAATCTACTAGAGATTGCAGGTATTCTCCTACTAGTTTCCTGGCGAGCTGCACGGCTCTCTCTGGGGGGTTGGGTCCAAAGGTAGACAGCACCTCATTAACCTCTCTGTCAAACTCCTCCTGAGTGTAGTCATACGCCATGCTTGCTCTGCTGAAGTTAGTTCTTTTGTAGATAGGGTCGCTGTACGGGTACTAGCATTGCCCTCAATTTGTAAATCCACGAACTGTGTCTCCGAGCTGCTTTACCTCGCACTAGGACGCCATCCCACCGCTTGCCACCAATGTAACGGATCGCCTGGCACCCCGACTGGGTACCTCCGTTGAAGTATGCTCCTAGCGCTTCCCGAGGACTCCAAGCACTCTGGCAGACACCACAACCACCGAACCGTAGGAGCATATGAAGGCTATCAAGCATATGAATGCTGTAGACCATTGAATAGGAACCATACGAATAGGTTTACTCTCCTAGCAGTCAAACTGGAACAGCATACAATAAATCCTTCCCCCAATAATGAGACAACACTTCACTTTGAGGGTTAAAACAGGAACTCCCTGTACTGTCACATACAGTCTCTTTTATTCCCAA